AAAATAGATTGTAAACAAACCAAAATATAAAAGCCAGTCTAGGCCACATAATTTACAATTATACTTACCATCACCAAACTAATGTCAAAGATAGTGGGCTCCATCATTATAAATTGAAAGAAAATGCACAAGTAGGAGTGTGCTGCCACCTAATGGGCAACATCTTTGGCGATAGTTAGGAAACACCGCAAACTGCCCAGTTTATAATTACCTACATTCCTCAAAAGTGCTGGAAAGTTTTAAAAGTTCTTAAGTTAATTCACAAGAGTTATCCAGTGAGTACAGTATGCGTGAATTTCAAAGCATTTTGTGCATCCGTTTGTCACCAGCCACCTGGATTACTCAAACGCACTCCACGCTGGTCTCCCCAGCTCCACTATTCAAAAGATTCAGCTCATTCAGAACTCTGCCGGACCAAACTCTGTACCCACATCTCACCAGCTCTGGCCAGGCTCCACTGGCTCCCCATCACCAAACGGATCGACTTCAAGATCCTCACACTCGTGTTCAAATCCCTTCACTCTCTGGCACCTCCCTACCTCTCCAACCTCCTCACTTTCCAATCCACCACCTAGTGCCTCCGCTCAACTGGCACTGGCCTCCTGCCCGTCCCTCGCACCCTCTGCCTCACCATTGGTGGTCGCACCTTCAGCCACTACGCCCCAAAACTCTGGAACACTCTCCCTCAATCCCACCTCCTTGCCTCCTCTCTCCCCCGTTTTTCAATTCCCTCCTGAAAACCTTCCTCTTCAACTGTGCTTACGGCCAATTTCTCCCCCCTCCGCCGGCTCGGAGTCAGGCTCTGCTACTGTTAAGCACTCTGGGACTCTATCCTGCAGTGGAGACCGCTTTATAAGTACATGTTATTGTTGTTGCAATGATAACAAAATTACATTTGTATAGGGCCTCCTAAGGTGCTGGACAATCAATATTTCGGATCCGAGCTGAGGGTAGGGATAGGGGAGGGTGAAGGGCGGTGGGAGAAGGAGGGTGATCGAAGGCACGGTCAAAGAGGAGTGTCTTGAAGGAAGCAAAGGGAGAGGCATTGCATCCATCTGGCCAGTCCCAAAGGAATAGGAAACATTCTATCTTGTGCCCCCAATTAATATTTTCACTAAAATGCTATCTAATTCCCACTTGAATTTGCTGACACAAGCTGCTTCCAGCTCCTCCCTAGATAATATATTTCAAGTATTTGCTAGTCTCTGTGTAAAGTAATTAAATTTGAACTTTCACTCAACCTTCCTTTGCCAAGCTCAATTTGTTCCTGTGTTATAGAGTTTGTGACTGTGTTAAACATATTATTAGGATTGATTTTATCTACACTCTTTAAGATCTTTTGTTTTGATCAGCCAGATGTCTGACATACGCGGAAATCCATCACCAAGCTTTAGAATATCCAAACCACATAAAATTTCCATGTGCTGGAATGGAATGTGCACATTCTCTCTGGAGGGATGCATCCTGACAAGGATAGGGAGTTCCAAAGAGTGCATTGGTGGTACTGAGTTTAAGCAGCTAAAACCATATAGTTTACCATTGGGAGCATATCTGGCAAGCTTCCCGCTGGCTGGCCTGCCCCTCCGAGTCCTGCCAATGCGCCAGGCTGGTAGGTCTGTCACCAGCAGCAGCCTGGAGTACCGTGAACCTACCTGGTTCAGGAACTGGACTGCCTATAACAGCCAGAGGTTTGACTCAATTATGACATTAAGTTGTCAAGCATGTGATCTTCACGTCAGCTTAGGATTTGATATCTGACGAGCACACATTTGAGCCCTCACGAGGTGAGCTTCCTGGTGAGCATGACCAGATGAGCCTTCCTCATAGCTCAGCATGAAAGGCTTGCTCTGGAGCATTGCCACCATCTTCATACAGCTCATAATCACTACCCATTAAGTGATTGTTCTAAAAGTTGGAGGTGAAAAGCTTGAGCAGTGGGTGCTTAGCTTTTGCTATATCTATCAAAGTGGATTCCAAGCCTCTTTGGGGAGAGGTAAGTGGGTTCTCTTTAGAGCTGAACTGGCTCCAAAGTGACATGCCTGTCAATAGAATGTCAGAATCGAGCCAACTGTGGTGGTCTCAGTAGTCCGGTTCCTGAGCCAGGCTGGTCTGCAAGTGTCCCAGGGCACTGCTGATAACATAACAACCAGCCTAGCTCAACGGCAGGACCTGGAAGGGCAGATCAGTCACTTGGGGCAGGGAATCATCCCACTCAGCTCCTGTTAACCCTGGAAGTCAAAGCCCTAACCGATAGGATGGTCCTAGCTGGACAAGCAGCAGGGAAGCAGCAATATCATTGGCAAGCTATGCGGTTTTAGCTGGTTAGATCCAGCAGTACCCCAAAGCACACTCTGGGGTCACCAGGCCTTGGCTCTTGCCAACCTGCTCCTAATACTTTCCGAAATTAGGCAAGCAGAATGCATCCCTCCAGGGAGAGATGCGTATTCCATTTCCAACAATCTATCTCTGGGATTTCCATGTGTAGATGCATGGAACTCTCAGCTTGGTTTGGATATCCTTAAGCGTGGTGATGGATTTCCGCATATGTCAGACCCAAAAAAAAAAAAAAATCCAAGCTGTATGAACATATGATCACAAACCCAGACTCCAGATAACACAGCTGTTGTCCCAAGTTTCAGAGATTTCTCATCAGTTATTCGAGGGTCATCCACCTTCAGTGTTGTGGGAAGACCTCCATGGAGAGAGAGCACATTTCATACCAGTTCCAGGAAATTTTCTGCGTGTAGGTGGCATACATATATTTTGCCCACAAAATGTACAATCAATTCACTTTAAGGTATAGTCTGTGAAACGCTTTGAGACTTCTCGAAGACGTGATAAGGTGCTATATCAAAGGATTATTATTAGAATTCTCATGTGGTTTGGATACTGTTAATTATTGTGATGGGTCTCTGTATCTTATCAGTAAGCTAAAGTCAGGATGAGGGGTGGGGGATATCACCTTGCTGTTGTTAATTATCAAATCATCGTAATTTGGGTTGAAATGATAATAATCCTCACCGGAGATCAAATCACATCCCTCAGTTTTTACGCCAGAAATGTGAATCCATGACGGGTGACAGTTTTGAAATGTAAGGTGCAGTTTATACCATTTAAGTGGATGAGAAAAGGATGGCACAATTCTCAAATACTTCATTCGATTTTGCAAGCTTCCGCTCTCGAAACAAAGCAAAGCATTAACTATAACACAAATAATTCTTTTACAACCCAGCATGTTTTCCTAACGAGAGCCTTCATAGTAAATCAAACACCATTGAACTGGGCTGAAAAACCATAGGAAACTCAAACGCAAAGATACTGTGTCTCATAAATCTCCATTTTAAAACATAACCCAGTAATGAATAAAGTATAAAATTATTCCTTTCCATGGAGAGCCATTTGTTTGACGTTGAACACACCCACAGCACAGCACCAGTGGTCAGAGGAGATTGTTCCAATTGAGTTAAAGCAACAGGATTTGGCTCATTCATCAATTGCAATTGTTTCATTTGCTCTTTCAGCCATCCAGATTTCTGACTAAACCCTCTTTCTACTACTATGTTTGCACCGCATAGAGTGCTTAACAAGGCTTATTACAAACCTGCAAGATAAGCGGGAGCCTGGGGTAGTGTGAGTTAAACTGGAGCTTCACTCCTGGAAGTACTGTTTGAGGATTAATGGGATTAATTGGCAGATCGCTTTTCCTTAAAAAAAATTGGTCACTTCAATCCACGACTGTTTATGGGACACTGCTGCGCACAATTGGCTGCCATGTTTTGCCCACAATACAAATTCACTTTGCAGTATATTCTGTGAAGCGCTTGGAAACGTTTCAAAAACATGATAAGGCGCTATATCAAATGCAAGGATTATTATTATTAACACCTGTGGAGTACAAATGATATGCATATCAAATCACATAGTGCACACTCATTCACCATGGTTTGCATTGTTCAACTTCAGAAAATTTAAATGATCACCTTTTCTGCTATTAAAAGGCTGGTTACAGCAACCAAAGGAATGTGTGTGCAATTTGATCTTGGGAGATATATTCAGAGAAGAATTCATCATAGTATTGTTTGTTAAACTAGAGGAAGAGACAAAAAAGAATAAGATAGTGTGAGGTGAGAAAAGAGTCACGTGGACAGCCCTGATGGTGTATTAGATAAAGCTGCAGTTTACAGATCAGGAGATCGCTGGTTTTTATTGAGGTTGCTGGTCTCAGCTGGGGCTGCACAGGGAGGCTAAGTTGACTACGACCTTCCCAGGGTTAGGAAACATATACACCTATTTCATGTTATTATCCCCAAAGCTGGGGCTGGGAGGCAAGGGCATGTGGGCCAAGGGGCAGGGGAGAGAAAAATGACCAAAGGTGCGATCAAAGAGGAAAGTCTTCAGACAGAACTTGAAGGAGGCAAGGGAAGGAGTGAGTTGTAGAGACTCCACAATTGAATTCGGGAGAGTGAGGCAGATACAGAGAGAGAGCTGCACACAGACTTTTTCATATGGCCAAAAAAATTAATCAACAGGACTTTCAATCTGTGCTTAGTTCAAATTCACACTTTTACCAAATGTAATAAAGAGAGTGCTTTGGTACACAACACTTGGATAAATGAGGATCCTGCTTATAAATGGCATTCTATTAGTAAGAATACTGAAGAAATTGAGTGAAATTTTATTCATAGCAAACTCTTGCAGTTACCATGTTTTAATAATAAATGAATTAACGTTCTACTTTATTATACCAGTAATAAGATCCAAAGTGCAGTTTGATTCCTGTAATCTCTTGTGTTTGTTTCATTCATTAACCTAAACTGCTAATAAGCATTTTCTTTTAATAAAAAATGAGATGTAAGGAAATTGTATAATAAAATATGTGAGTTTATTTGATTAATTGTTCCACCTTTATCTAAGTGTTTCATTCAATAATGTGGTACTATTGTTTTACAGTGTATTCTCATTTCCTAATAGTTTCTGAACATTATCCTTTATATACCCAGCCCCCCCGAGATTTACAGTCACTCCTATGGACCAGGTCATAATAGAGGGGCATACGGTAGACTTTGACTGTGCAGCTGAAGGCAATCCAACCCCAGTCATTGCTTGGACAAAAGCAGGTATATTTCGTTAAAGCAAAGCATCACATTTTCTGGCAATTACATTTTGGGTTGTTAGCTAAAACTGTAAAATGTCAGTTAAGGTCTAAACTTCATCTATTAGATTCATCTTAAAGACAGTTTGGGATAACATTGTTCAGAATAAATCATTGTTCCACATGTAAATGTTAAATATATAAGATACCTTACAATAACCAATAACCTTACAGAATAAATAAATCATTCACTTTTTAAAAAAAGTATCCTGTCATAATCAACTTTGTCTTGTAAAACCTCTTTGAAGTGTTCACAACCAAAAGCAGAAGTGGTCTAGAATAGCAGCACTGTGAAATGCTCATACACTGTAGTTGTATACACTGTCCAGTTTAACGGCTGTGAGTTGTAGCAGACTTTACTTGACTGAAGAAATATTGCTTTGCTTTCTGTTCTCTAGGAGGACAGCTCCCCAATGACAGAAGACATTCGGTCTTGCCCACCGGAACCTTACGGATTGTTCGAGTAGCCCCTCATGACCAAGGCCAATATGAGTGTCAGGCTATCAATGTGGTGCAGGTTAAACGAGCATCTGTCCAGTTAACGATACAGCCCAAAGGTACAGTAACATCTCATATCAGGAAAGGAAAAATGCATCAAGCACTTTAGGCCAATACTCTGCTCCGAGAGTAGATTGCATCAGAGGGTATTTATTATTCCATGATGTGCAATCCCTTAGATATATTCTGAGTTTCACAAGATAATAATAATAGTAATCCTTGCATTTGATATAGCGCTTTTCATGTCTTCTAGACGTCTCAAAGCGCTTCACAGAATGTACTGTAAAGTAAATTGACTGTATATTTGTGGGCGAAATGCAGTAGCCAATTGCGTACAGCAGTGTCCCACAAACAGTAGTGGATGGAAGTGACCAATTTATTATTGCTTTTATTTCTTGAGGGTTTATTATCAGGCGTGTGGAGTAAGGAAACTTGCCCAAGATTTTGCCTTGCCAGGAATTGAACCCAGGTCTCTCGCTTGTGAGGCGAGTGCTCTAACCACTGAGCTCCAGTACTCCATGATGGGGATGAGATGGAATCCATGTAGAACTTTCCTGCAGCAGTTTAAATGGATGGAGTAGAGTCCACAGTATGGCCAATTATATGCACTTGGTTTGTGGAAAGAGTGGGCTTCATAGGTGAAATTAGTTATTCTCATTCTGCACTTTATGACACTCTCATTGTCAAGCCATTGAAACATAGCTGTAATATTGGATGATATAATTATTTCTAAAATATTATATTTTTGTGTGTTTTGTAATTATTTCTGCGTAGTGTTTAATAATTTATTGCACTAACTTGATTTCTACTATGTCTGGTCTCAAATTCTAATTTTGTATTACAAATTGCACCCAGTGATACCAGTGTTTACCACTGTGCCACGGGATATTAGCGCAGATGTTGGTCAGGATGTGGAGATACCCTGCAGTGCTCAAGGAGAACCTCACCCCACCGTTACTTGGACTAAGGTACGAGGAGCAGAAAATCAACCAATAATAAGAATGATGGGATGGATGCTTTCTGCGCCTTAATGGAGACAATAGCTGGAATAAACATTAAACTACTGATTTCTCTGGGTTTTTCGGCTTGGCTGCTTCCTTGTAAGACATATTTGCCCATTTTCCCCTCTACCTCCAATCTGCATGCTCTCATGAGAGGCAAATGTACTTCTACTTGGACAAGAGCAGTTTTCTGAATTTTTAAATCAGAATAGCCAGTATTTCCTCCTTACTGGATTATAAAAAAAAGCTCTGAAAATTAATAATTAAAAGAAGTGGAAATAAAATTTGGAAAATAATATTAACCACAAAGTAGGAACTATGAAATCTATCTTGTGGTAATTCTTAACAGGGTTCCTTAATAATTCAAATTGTCTATTGGATGTCTGCTCCTGAATTCGATCCCATCAGAGTTCCCATGGCTCGGAATAGTGTATTTCCAATTTTAAGAAGGAGTCCCGATTTAACCAATTCAGAGCCTTCTGAATTCTAGTCTTCTACAGAAACCCAAATAAGACTTTAATAATGATCTGAAACTTGTTTGAGAAACCCAGTGTAGCATTTCCACTGAAAGCTACAGAATGAATGTGTTTGTCATAACAGGATGGAGTTCAGATTACAGAAAGTGGAAAATTCCATATTAATTCCGAGGGTACACTGGGTATCAGGGACATTGGCCAGGCGGACCAAGGGAGGTATGAGTGTGCTGCAAGGAATACAATTGGCCAGGCAACGACAAATATGCTGTTGTCCGTGACGGGTAAGTATTTTTTCAATACCACAATTCTTCATGAATAGATCAATTGATTTTTTGTGACTGCTTCATTGAGTTATGAATGCTGTTCATGACATCTATAGTGCATTGGCCTATTGAGAATATAATTATAGATTTCTACTGAAATTGTATGATTTTAAGTTCTGCCTATTAGAAGGTACAATAATTACAATATGAAAAGATACTGGGAAGTAGCAGTGATTTGGGACTAGAGTGCACTGTATAGCTATTATTGATGAGTTAGTACCAACATTGTATCTTTGTGGACTCTTCTTCATGGAATCCTGTAGCTCAGTGGTTAGAGCACTTGCCTCGCAAGCGAGAGACCTGGGTTCTATTCCTGGCAGGATTTTGGGTAAATTTCTTTCCTCCACACATTTATTCCTCTGTTTACCTAGCAGTAAGTAGGAACTCAGTTGTTAGTTGATTGGCGGAGATCGCTTTCCGGGGATAATAATCCCTCAAGAAAAAAACAATAATAATTTGCTCACTCAATCCACGACTATTTGTGGGATACTGCTGTGCCCACTTGGCTGCCCGTTTCACTTTTTGTGGCTGAGAAAAGGTCAGAAAGCCGGACAAAATGCGAGAAAATAAATTTGAGCCTTTCTTTGGACTTAAACCAATCAAACTTATACTTTTTTTAAAATCCAAACAATGTGAATTGGATACTTTGTAATCCAGTTTTCAAAATGCAGCATTGCATTTTAGACACATTATGTATGGTATAAGAGGGCAGAGGCTGACGGTTCTGAATACAATTTTGATCTATTGAATGACCTCTAAGTAAATGTGCACTGGTAGTTATTGAATTTCAGCGAATTTGACTCCAATCAGCTGGAGTCCTGCAACTCAGATTAGAGCAATCATCTCGCAAGCGAGAGACCTGAGTTTGATTCTCAGCAGGGCGAAACCGTGGGCAAATTTCTTTACTCCACACGTCTGATGATAATCCCTCAAGAAAAAAACACAATAATAAATTGGTCACTTCAATCCACGACTGTTTGTGAGACACTGCTGTGCGCAATTGGCTGCCGCGTTTGCCCACAAATATACAGTTAATTCGATTTACAGTGTTTTCTGTGAAGCGCTTTGGGACGTCCTCCCGACGTGAAAAGCGCTATATCAAATGCAAGGATTATTATTATTATATTGTGTGAAGCGCTTTGAGTCATCTAGAAGATGTGAAAAGTGCTATATTACATGCAAGGATTATTATTATTATCATTATCACACTTTCCTTGCATCTACAAGTGATGTGAGGCTGAAGAGCATCTGTCCTAGCTGCAGCTCTGGTTCACTAGCATGAGGAATTTTTGAGCAAATCTTTTGCAATAATTTTTCATTGAACTATTATTCATTGAGATTTGATTAATGTGTGAGTAATTCCAGCTATGCAATAGTTCGCCCTGAAAAAAGAACAAGTTTTCGACTTCAATAGCATGCATATTATTTGCTAATGAAATGCAATCTGTCGAGGTTAATTAGGGTGCAACTCCTAATTAATCATTACATTTTTAGTTTCTGTCCAAGTTTATTTAGTGTGTTGTACCTTAATTTCTTTAAATAGCGATGAAGTTTCATACATTTTTAGAGTCAAAGTTGTGGCATTTTCCTAGGATTCCACATTGAGGAATCAGAGCCACACGAACAGGGATGATTCCCAGTAATTGGAAGTACATCATTCTGGACTATAGAATAACAACAAATTACATTTGTATAGCGGCTTTCACTTTGGGAGGACATCACGAGGTGCTGAAGTCCATTCCAACAAGTTCTATTTCCACAGCAGATTTCCTGCAGATCAAGAGGAATTCCAAAGGAACCCTATTAGTACTGCAAAGAACTGTGCTCTCAATGACAAACTATACAGATTTAGCTGATTAAAATGAAGTAGTATCCCAACACACACACTGGAGTCCTCAAGTCTCTGCTAACCTGTACCTAGGCCTCTGTGAAATTAGTTAAGCAGGGTGCAGCCCTCCTGGAATAGAGTGCACACTTCAATCCAGACATAAGGAAACACACGTGCGGAGGTAGCATACATACGTGGAACTCTCAGTCTGGCCTGGATACTCTTAAGCTTGATGATGGGTGTTCACTTGTATGAGAAATTATTATTATTGATTATTATTATTATCAGACACCAACTGAACAAAACAAATCCTTACAATACTCCATATTTCTTCCCACAGTTTGCAGTCTTGGTCACACCATTTTAGAAAGCATATTATTGCTAGTAGCTAAGTAGGAAGATGAACATCCAAAATGATTCTGAGTCAAGAATTTATGCAATAGAGTACAATTTACATTTATATGAGGCTTTCAATGCCAGGAAGCAATCTCAAGGCACTTTGCACTGCTGGCTGCACACCCAAACCGGGGCAGGACCTTAAGAGGGAGGGAAGGAGAAAGATGACTGAAAGCACAATCAAATGCATTTACAATTTAACTTTTAAGGAAAAAATAAGGAAGTTGGGATTGTTCTCTTGAAAAATAAGTTATATTAGCTTGACCTAATTGACATTTCCAAAATCATTGTTTTTGTCGGAATAAAACAGGATGGTTTACAGTGAAATGTATTGATAATAAGTATTTGATATCACTACAGTAATGAATTGCTGGCAATTTTATTTTGCTGATGTATTGCTGTTGGGACTATATAATAGTTGTTGGTTCTCCTGTTAGTGAGGCTAAATCTTTACCTTGTACAATGGTGCAATAGAATTTTCAGTTGTTTTATTGCTGTTATAAACATTTAACATTACACTTTCTTTTGAAGATCAAATTTTGCTCTGAATGCAATTTTTGGCTCCAGATGTTATTATCAGTATGGAAATGTTTCTGATCAGTGCTTCATTTCTTTATTTTATAAATATATTTGGTGCAACTTATCTTGCATACAAAACAAATTGCTTCAATAAGAAAGAGGAACGTTAAAATAGAGGAGTCTCCTATGAACTTTTTGATATAATTTCTTAAAGCAGCGGAAGAGATATGTGGAATCCCATAGCAAAATGATTAGCACACTTACCCTGCAAGTGAGACAACCTGGGTTAAATTCCTGGGTGGGGCAAACCTTAGGCATCTCTCCTTACTCCACATGCTTCTGCTTACCTAGCAGTAAATAGTAACCTGGTTGTTAGTCGATTGGTGGATTGCTTTTGGGGGAAATAATCCCTCAAAAAAAAATTGGTCACTCATTCCACAACTCCACATTCGTGGAGTCCTGTAGCTCAGTGGTTAGAGCACTCGCCTTGCAAGCGAGACACCTGGGTTCAATTCCAGGCAGAGCGAAACCTTGGGCAAGTTTCCTTACTCCACACTGATAATAATCCCTCCAAAAAACAAAAACAATAATAAATTGGTAATTTTCAATCCACGACTGTTTGTGGGACACTGCTGTGCGCAATTGACTGCCACGTTTTTCCCACAAATATACAGTCAATACACTTTACAGCAAAATTCTGTAAAGCTCTTTGAGACGTCTAGAAGATGTGAAAAACGCTATATCAAATGCAAGGATTATTATTATAACTGTTTGTAGGATACTGCTAGGCACAAAATACACAATCAATTCACTATACAATATATTCTGTGAAATGCTTCGAGCCGGCAAAACATTGTGATAAGTCATTATATCAAATACAAGGATTATTATTATATTGTTTGCTTAGGATCTGATCCCAATGTACCCCAACAGTTTTTTTTCCCCTTTTAGTCTTGTCCTATTGTACAAGATTGATAAAGCACTCATCTTCTATACAGCTTGTCCTTTTGTCCCTGGCTTTGGTGTTTTGCATTAGCCAGATCAATATACAGAATTATTACTCTTTTGCCAAGTAATTGAAATCATTTTATTCCCCTTCTACACTTCTTGAGAAATTTTGAGATCACTTCCAGCAGTACAGTACAATTTGAAGCAGAAAACATATTTATACCATCTACTCTGACCGATCTTGCCATGGGTTAAGAAGACTTCTGCGCATATATAACTAAGTTCAAGGCACACCATGACACACACCTATTTGACTGCTCTTTCAGTCATCCTTGCCCTCCCCCTCAGCTCCCACTCCCATCTTGGATGCCAATCCAGAATTGTCAGGTGCATTGACATGTCCTTCCAAAATGAAAAGCCCTTTATAAATGTAAATTGTATTGTATTGTGAACTATGTTGTAAGTGCAGGTGTAGACTTTCACTAAGAAGGATTTGACACGGGTTAACTTTTTTAAGAAGGGTATGACTAACTCTTTGGCAATACTAAAACATTTAAGGTGGCAGTCCTTTATATTGGGCTGCCCAAGAACATGAAAATTACATTGTTGTAATTAAGTTTATAAGTTAATTTAAAATCAACAGCAATACAAACCCAATTTTTACTGCGTATCAAACTATTCAATGGGGGACTCCAGCACTGGAAAGTAACAGAGAGTAATTGAGTACTGTATTTAGTCTTGATTCTATGCCCTTCAGTTCCCTTCTACTTTTTGTCTCTCTTGACAGTTCCAGAGAGGGTCCGGACCGGTGACAACTTTGTTGAGTCTTCCATTCGTGAAGCTATCAATAGCGTTGACAATGCAATCAACTCCACGCGCAGGAACTTGTTTGACAAGTGAGAAGTTATTTAATAGTCTGCAAATTCTTATTATTCTTGTCCCAAGTGCAGCCAAGCTCAGAAACAATTTGGGAAAATAACTCCCTAAAACAAATGTTTCAATGTAATGATTGAGATGAATGCACATGTTTATCTAGTGACATAAATTACTTCCATGGAAAAGGTTCCCACAGAGCATTTAATAAATTGCAATTTATTATTGTTTGGCAACTTTGCTGTATTTTACTTCACGATCAATGCTGCATTTCCTTTGGTACAAAGAAGAAAAGGGCTCAGGAGAGATTGTATTGAAATATTCACGATCCATATGACATAGATCAGCTGAACCCTAATAATAATTTTAACATGGTCAATCAAATCTAGAGCAAAGGGACACAGACTCGAGCCCGGAAGACAAAGGGAAAACAGCTCTTTGAATGGAGAAGTGAATATGCAGAATAAACGTATTCAGATAGCTTTTATGTTGAAGAATTCAATTGAGGAATATAAAAGATAAAGTAAGATTTGTTTTTACTTTGTGACCAGACAGATGGACTGGAATAATCTTTTGTAGTCCTGAACATTACAGCATTCATGAAGGGAGTCTGGTAAGATGATTGAGGTACAGCTCAGAGATTGTTTACAGTATTGTAGACCTTGGATTCCTTTTTAATCCAATTGTGTAGCTGTGGAGCATAGACCACAGTGTATTGATCACACTGCCTGTTCTTTTGCCTGGAGATACACAGAGGAGATCAAAGTTCGACTCTGTCACTAATCCTTGCAGCATGAAGCCAAGAGTCCCACTTTCAGTGTGATATCAGTAAGGGGGTGGAGGCAAATTTGCCAAGTTCTCTTCATAAAGGAATCCACTGGTGGATTTGTTCCAACATGAATTTGGCAGTGATAGTAAGATATTAATCATAGGGCTGTGAATTGTTTGGACATTAGCAGGAGGCCAAGATTTTGAAGCCCTATTTTCTCACAAATCCTGCGAAACTTGATAAAGGATTATTTTAAGCACTTTGCTTTGTTTGATCTTGCGAAGGTAAACCTGCCTTATGGGAAGAAATACAAACAAGCAAGAAAATACTGTGCATTATTACCGCAGATAGTGATTCACAAGCAGACAGGTGGAGATCTGTTATAATGGGTGAGATTAATGTCAAATGCTTGATTAACACAAAACATTTTTAACGATCTGGCAGCCAAGCTGACAAATAAATCACCACAAAACTTTTAGAACTGAGTTGAGAAAACATTTCTTCACTCAGAAGGTAGTGAATTTATGGAATTCTCTACCCCAGAAGGTTGTGGATGCTCAGTCATTGAACATATTCAGTGATGTTATTTATATTTATGTCCTTTATGTGATCGATAGATTTTTAAAAACTAAAGGGATTAAGGAATATGGGGATAGGGCAGGTAAATGGAATTAGGTAAGAAAATCAGCCATGATCTTATTGTTTAGTTGCAATCTCCCCTCTTATTGAATGGCGGGGCAGGCTCGAGGGGCCGAATGGCCTACTTCTGCTCCTATTTCTTCTGTTCTTATGTTCTTATTAAGCTAAAGCAGGGAGAATAGCTTTTCTCTGATAATCAGTCTACTTTTCAGCACTGGCTTCCATCACATTTGATACCCAACAGATACTTGAAGAATTGATAGTGTCAAAGGTCTACTCAAAGTACAAACTTTAAAATCTTATGGATTTAAAAATTATAATAATTGTATTTTTTGTAAAGGTCTGCTGCTTTGGGCATTTTCTCAAAGACTAGAGTCTTGTCACTAGACTGTCTACACTAACACTCTAGTACAGGGGAATGCTGCTCATTTAGACATGCTGTCCTTTTGATACAGTGTTGTTAACGAAGGTCCTGTCTGCTGCTTCAGATGGACGTTTAATATCCCATAGCACTATTTGAAAAGAGAAAGCAGTTTCTCATGGTGTCCTGACCACCTCGGAACCTTCAAATAAAAATGTGTTCATTTACTCTTGGCTGTCTGTGGAACGTTGCTGTGTACAAATTGGCTGCCATGTTTGTCTACAAATACACGGTCACTACACTTTACAAAAAACTCTCTGACGTACTTTGAGATATTTCGACATAAAATGCAAATGGAAGCATTATTAGATTAGATTATTATTTTGAAACAGCAGTTATAGTAACATGCACTGAATGAAAAAAGCTTAGAAAAAGTGAACATCTTAGTACAGATTTCAGTTTCAGATGAACCTTATTACCTGTGGTCTGTGAATTGAGAAATAGATACATTAAACACAACAATGGGCTGCAGTGGTAAATTCTTCAAAAGTGTTTATCACCAATATTTAAGTGATGTGAAAATGAAATGTTCCTTAAAGAGTTATGCAATGTCTAAACAATATTTGATATTTCTAACACAAACAGAAGTCGCTGCCACATCATCTAGATCCCACACCTTTTCTCTCTCTGGTCTGCTTATTTTGTTGCAATTTTTCCCCCTTTGCTTTGCATTTTTAACACCTCTTTTCTCCTGTTTTGTTGCTATCCTCCCTTTGTTTTGCATCATTAACACCTCTTTAACCCATCATCCTGTCCTCTACCCCATTTTCTCCTCTGTCTTCCTTGCCCTGCCTCCCCCTCTCTGTTAGCCCTTAAAAGCCTTTCCCTCCCAACATGCCCCAGTTCTGACGAAGGGTCGTGGACCCGAAACGTTGACTCACTTTCCTTTCTCCATAGATGCTGCCTGACCTGCTGAGTGTTCCCAGCGACTTCTGTTTTTGTTTCAGATTTCCAGCAGTATTTTGTGATTTGATATTTCTACTTGTGTTGCAACATTGTCTTATTTTAGTGTTGTTGTAATTTGTGTTCTAGACGCCCACTGAGTCCGAATGACCTGCTAGCTTTATTCCGCTATCCTCGGGATCCCTTCACTGTGGAAACTGCAAGAGCAGGAGAGATCTTTGAGCGGACTCTACAACTGATTCAGAACCACGTCAAGAGAGGCCTAAATGTGAACTTCAATGGGATAGGTATGATTTTGAAAGGTCTTAAAAGGTATGATCACGAAATAAGAGGAGTTGAGGGGCAGGTTAGAAGAATATTTTTTCCCATACAAAGTCATTAGAACATGAAATGCTTTGCCACAAGTCACCACTGAAGCTAAGACCATTTATAATGGAATTGAATAAGCATTTGAAGAGAAACATTATAAAAGGCTACCAAAACAGAGCAAAAAATGTGGAAGAAGGTAGATTGCACATAGAGATGCCAAAGCCAGCATAGACATAATAGCCTCCTTCTTTGCTCTAACTTCAATCATTCTATGAAAGCATGTGATTTCATCGATTATTTTTACTTGTGTGCAAGCTTGTTGCTTGTAATCCTGGAGTCCTGTAGCTCAGTGGTTAGATCACTCGCCCTGCAAGTGAGAGATCTGGGTTTGATTCCCCGCAGGGCAAAACCTTGGGCAAGTTTCCTTACCCCACATGCCGGATAATAATCCCTCAAGAAAAAAAATAAACAATAATAACTTGATCACTCAATCCACAACTGTTTGTGGGACATTGCTGTGTGTAATTGTTTGCTGCTTTTCGCCCACAGTCAATTCCAGTCAATTCACTTTATATTATATTCTGTGAAGCGCTTTAAAATGTCTCAGACATGAAAAGCGCCATTAAAAAAAGCAAAGATTTGTTGAATGGTCAATCAAATCTAGACCAAAGGGATACAGACTCAAATGCAATAAACTTATTGAATGTCAAAGTTCAATAACATAACACTTTCACTGCTCCAGTGTGCCAAATCACTAACCCAGAAGGCCACAGATGTGAGCCTTTGAGCATTCCCAGATTCAACCATTGAGCAGATGCAAGCAAAAGGTCAGATGCCGCTTCATAGGAAAGAAAAGGAGGTGGAAAGAATTGAGGAAAACAATTGAGGGCAAGCCAATAGCTGCTTACATGTACTGTGCTAACTTTTAATTATGCAATGTGGTAGACAGTGCAATACCACCCACAACCTTAGATGATTCAAAGAGGACATTGTGCTAGGCAAACGAGATATTATAACCAACCTAAAAGAATTGCTGTGGCTGTCAATGTGAGATTGAAGTAAGTTTCACCGATAACCATGAAGCCTGGTCGGTTTCTACCATTAATGTTGTTCAACTGCAAATCGCTTAAGAGCACCATTCAACAAGAAAGCTTTTCAATGACCAGTATTGCCTGGGACAATCCCAGGAACTATAACAAGAACCAGGATGGCAGTACCTTGGTGATATCTCCATTGCTAGCTCCAGGAGAAAAATGGATTGTGAGGGGTAGGGTCCAAAATTAATTGTTTGTCAGCAAATGTACCAAACTAACATTTTTGATATCTTATAATGAGAATTTCTAACTATAAGACAACACCAACACAAATAATAGATTTACTAACAAGTGGGGAATACCCCACTCCTAGGTTTTTAAACACTTGTTTAAGAAAAGGAAAATAAATGGCTGAACCTTTGAGGAAGGTGATTAAAAATGAAGAGAAGGACAGAAGAGATTAGCTGAAAATTGAATGATCAGTAAGAATGTAAGAGAGACGAGTTTAATCACTTAATGGAACCTACAGCAAGGAGCTAGTAAAACACTTGTATTTCAGGATCATTTTATTCTCAGTTACGTGCCTTTTGGGGTTTTTCTACTTCCAATATGTCTCCAGAGATTCTTTTAAGCGCCTTTTGCCATCTAACTATTCTACTGATGGGTCCTCATAAATCACGTATCTGAGAATAAAAGCAGAGTGAAATACTTAGTGTTTTGTTCTGATCCCTGTTCCACTTCCAATAAGTAATTTGACTTTAATGGGTTTATTTCTCTCACAGCTTCTTACTGCCTATTTCAACTTTGAAATAATCTCTTTTTTCTTTTCTTTTTACTTTTCAATCTCTTGGAGAGAAAGAGAGAGAGCGAAAAAATACATTCAGCCATTTATTTTCCTCTTCTTTTCTAGGATCTTAAAACACTTATTAGCGCTTCTCCTGAAAGCCAGCAATGAGACATCACAGAGCCATTGCTGTCCTGGCTCTGTGGTCAATGTTATCTGGTAAGTGCAAAGCTTTCATGTGAAGTTGTGTTTTAAGAGACAAAAATAGTTAATGGCGGTAACGGCCGCGTGTTGTGGTATTGTTTGTGTTAAGCATCAGTTATCCTCGTGTTTGCTTTTCATTAATTAGTGAATATTGACTCTGGCCTCAACAGTTGGAACGATAACTGTAATGGCATGCAAATTAATGGAAAGATTTATTGCAGCATAACTTCTTGATGATCTATGTAGGCTAAATGTTCGAACAAGCACCAACGCCCAGCCCAATCCCCCAACACACAGACACATACATGAGTGTGTCTCAGAAATGCAGAGTCACTATATTAAAATATTTTCCACGTTTAGAAATAACTGTTGATCTAGATATTTATTCCATCATAGATGTAACATTTTTTCTAATATAATAATAATCCTTACATTTGATATAGCACCTTTCAGGTCAGAAGGATGTTGCAAAGTGCTTCACGGGATATTCTGTGAAGTGCCATAACTGTGCGTTTATGAGCAAAAGTGGCAGCCAATTCGCGCAGAGCACAAACAGCCATGTTCAATGACCTTAGTAGGTGAACTCATCTGATTCTCTGCTACTTGGTAAATTTACTAAAGTCTTAGAAATCTGAAAGTTTTCAGATGGTAAAATTCCTTTATAAGTTTCCATTGGCAAGACTAGTAAATTTTAGCAAACAGTGGAGAATTTAATCACTCCTCCACCAAGGTCTGCACTTTCCTCTATCTCCTCCCCTCCTAACCCCTCACAATATATTGAATTTGATCCTTCCTAAGATAACAAATGAATTTTGCTGGTCCAGTGCCAAAGTTGTCATTACATTCCGGCACATGGCTTCTCTTATCAAAGGCATGTGGGTAAACACTAAATAGCATTAGTATTAGCTAATGGATAAGTGTATTAAAAATAAACAAAAGTGTGACTATTTGAAGGTGTTTTTACTCAGCCAATGAAGAAGGATATATTATAAGAATCCATGGGGAAGGAGTTCTATCCCAGAAGTGGACTGAACTATCATCAGTGAGTTATGGCTCGTGCCATAAGTCAAAAGTTCACCATACCCATGGGCTTCATATTGCCTTTTATTTACACAATGTTAAATTAATTAGGTGAAGAGATTTTATAAAGATGGGTTTTGTGACATGATCTGTTCCTTTGTGGGTTGTTTGCAATGCAGCTGGAGGCTACAGTATTAATGAAGCATTTTGGGATGTGGGTTTGGACTGTTTGTTTTCAACATCTTAGCAATATGACCTTCTCAAAGGGAAACCAGCTCCAGATGAAGCCAAACAATGATTTCTACAAACGTAACATGATTACATTACTTTTGGACTCGATACATCTATGTATGAAATCTAGCATATCATTAGCTTTTTTTTAGTCTTTACACTTGTGCACTTTCAAGAATTAATGTATCTGTACTCTCAAGTCGCTGTGTTCCTCTGCTCTTTGCAAGATACTACCGTTCAATATACACTTACTGTTCTGGTTATTACGCTCAATAGTGCTGCATTGTGATATATTGATCTAGCAATGACTGAGTGTGTGTGAAGACACCCTGAAACACTTGGGTTTCACAACAGCCAGAAGTTTCAGCCAAACAACTGTGCCGAAGGTTGGGATGTTCAACGCCAGCAAAACCAGTAGACAATTAAAGGCTGGTTTGGATCACAATTTTCACTAATTATTATCACATCCCATCTCATTTTCCACTCCACTTCAAATTGTAACTGGAAAGATTATTTTCTACCCCTTTTAAAGAAGAAACTTGTTTTTGATCAACTTGTTCGAACAAATGTTTCCTTCTCCATAGTCTCCCCCTTCTTCCGCACTCCGCGACCCCCCTATAATGCCACATCATGTTCTATAGCTGACCTGGTGGGTGGGGACCTAGTTATGCTCCTGATATTGTGCGCAAATGGGACTCAGTTTACTAACACGATCACAAGGTTGGTTCAATTGAAGAAATGAAGAAAGCCTTTCAGCCTGTTTGATCTCATCCTTCCAGATGCCCATCTTCCCCTAAAATTAGTTGAGTGCCCTGACTTGACAATTTCAACTTTTTGCTTTCTGAACTACCCAACACTGTCCTTTACAAAAAACGTAAATAGGAACCCAGTTGTTAGTCGATTAGTCGATCGTTTTTCCGTGATTAATAATCCGTTCCAAAAATAATAATAATATGGTCACTCAATCCACGACTGTTTGTGGGACATTGCTGTGTCCAATTGGATGATGCGTTTCATCCACAAAATATACAGTCAATTCACTTTACAGCATATTCTGTTAAATGCTTTAAGATGTCTCGAAGACATGATTATTATAATTGTTATAAGCCGCAGACATTCCAGAGGTCTGCAGCTCGTGTCCTCTCCCACACCAGGTTCCAAGAGCCTATCACCCCCCATCCTCACCCAGCTTTGTTGGCTCACCATCCCCCAGGGGATCGAATACAAGAGTCCTGCAGCTCAATGGTTAGAGCACTCGCTTTGCAAGCGAGAGACCTGAGTTCAATTCCAGGCAGAGCGAAACCTTGGGCAAGTTTCCTACTCCACACGCCTAATAATAATCCCTCCAAAACCAAAAACAGTAATAAATTGGTCATTTTCAATCTACGACTGTTTGTAGGACATTGCTGTGCGCAATTGGCTGCCGCGTTCGCCCACACATATACAGTCAATTCACTTTACAGTGTGTTCTGTGAAGCGCTTTGGGACGTTCTCCCAACATGAAAAGCGCTATATCAAATGCAAGGATTATTATTATTATTATTATATAAGATCCTCATCCTAACCTTTAAATCCCTCCATGGTCTTGCCTCACTCTACCTCTACGATTTTCTGAAACCACCCGAACATCAGAGATCCACCCTCACGGTGCGCCAGTTTAAACCCAGCACCCGTGACTGGGGCCACAGAGCACTTCATCACTTTAAAAAGGCTCCTTAAAATACATCTTGTTGACAATATTTAAAAAGAAACATTTACTGATCATAACAAAACCATAATTCATGATTATATTTCTCTGAAACAAAATTGAATGGAAATATTTTTCAAAACAATACCATATGTGTTTTCAACTTGTGTGAAGTCATTACTCTAAACTGTTGCCTCAGTCTTTGGGTGTTGAACTTTAGATTACTTTGCCAACAAAACACAGTCACTCCACTTTATGATATATCTTGTGAAGCACGTTGGGACATCTTCCTGACGTGAAAGGTGATCTCCCAAATACAAGGATTTTTTACTTTCATCTTGAAACCATTCCTCGGTTGAAACTGCTGTAGTCACATTGGAGTTGCCAGTATTGGCTTTGAGGCAAGTTGAGCTTTAATAAACAGGCTTCAGTCACTCCGACACTCCCAGATTTTCTCCTGACCAGGAACATGTGCTGGGATAAGAAATGACGACATCGACAAGTTATTGTTACCAGACTTCTTTCCTAGTTGAAAAGTGAGCTTGAACAGCTTGCAATTCCAATGGGAGCAATCCAACCACTTGGAACTGAGCTGCTTCCAACCAGTTTCCATGAATGTTTCGTCATTTCTATTGAAACTAATGGTGAATATGAGGGACTTTTGTCCCTCTTTGCAGCAAAGAGTTAAAACCAGTTTGAATGAGGTATTCAAACTTGTATGGTCTTCTTTTTAATTCGGCATTGTGTACAGCACCTTACACAACAATAATATTTGTAAGATATGTTTGACACTTGTGATTTGTTCGTGTATTCCATGCTCTAACAAATAGGTTTTTACATTTTAAGTGACTGGATCAAGCTAAAAGAACGGTCTCTTATTCTTCCAATGTTCAGATGACTTCTTCAAAATCCTCGGGTGGGAGGGGGGTTGGGGGGAAACTACTTTCCAATTTAAAGTGGTTAACTAACAGCTTTCATTTATCTGGTTTGTTTCAGATTTCCGTTACAATGACCTGGTTTCCCCACGTTATCTTGACTTAATCGCCAATCTTTCTGGGTGCACGGCTCACAGACGCTTCCCAAACTGCTCAGACATCTGCTTCCACCAAAAGTATCGAACCCACGATGGCACGTGTAACAACCTCCAGCATTCCATGTGGGGGGCGTCACTGACCGCATTCCAGAGAATTCTCAAACCCGTCTATGAAAATGGCTTCAGCCTTCCTCGGGGAACAGAACCCAACCGCTTGTACAATGGTTACCGCCTCCCTCTACCTCGCCTTGTTTCAACAGCAATGGTTGGCACAGAGACCATAACGCCAGATGACCGATTTACACACATTCTGATGCAATGGGGCCAATTCTTGGACCATGACTTGGACCTGACGGTGCCTGCTCTCAGTATGTCACGTTTTTCAGATGGTCAGCCTTGCAGCTCTGTGTGCAGCAATGATCCCCCCTGTTTCCCCATAATGGTTCCGAAAAATGACCCACGGGTAAGGAACGCGAGGTGCATGTTTTTTGTTCGCTCCAGTCCGGTTTGTGGGAGTGGCATGACTTCCTTGCTAATGAAGAGTGTATATGCCAGAGAGCAGATCAATCACCTATCATCGTACATAGATGCGTCAAATGTCTATGGCAGCACAAAGCACGAATCCAGGGAACTCAGAGACCTTACAAATCAGCGTGGCCTGTTAAAGAGAGGCGAGGTCGTACCAAGGTCTGGTAAACACCTATTGCCTTTTGCCACCGGCGGACCCACAGAGTGCATGAGGGATGAGAACGAAAGCCCTATCCCCTGCTTCCTTACGGGGGATCATAGAGCCAATGAACAGATCGCCCTGACCGCCATACACACCTTATGGTTCCGTGAGCATAATCGCATTGCCACAGAACTGCGGATACTGAACCCTCACTGGGATGGCGACACTATCTACCATGAGGCTCGGAAAATAGTCGGAGCGCAGATGCAGCACATCACATACAACCACTGGCTTCCCAAAATCCTTGGTGATGTAGGAATGAAAATGATGGGAGATTATAAGGGCTACAACCCAAATGTGAACAGTGCTATCTTGAATGCTTTCGCCACAGCAGCTTTTCGGTTCGGTCACACAATGATTAATCCTATTCTCCATCGACTAAATGAGTCTTTTCAGCCAATTCCAGAAGGACATCTTCCACTCCACAAAGCTTTCTTCTCTCCATTTAGGCTTGTACAAGAGGGTGGCATTGATCCGCTGCTCCGTGGCCTCTACGCCATTTCTGGGAAAATGAGGGTCCCATCAGAGCTTCTCAACTTGGAATTGACCGAGAGGCTTTTTTCCATGGCCCATACTGTAGCTTTGGATTTGGCAGCAATGAACATCCAGAGAGGACGTGATCATGGGATCCCTGCCTACACTGACTACAGGGTTTACTGTAATATGAGTTCCATCCAAGAGTTTGAGGACCTAAAGAATGAAATCAAGAGCCCAGAAGTTAGAGCTAAACTCAAGAGGTGAGTGATTCCTACTGAGAAATGCTGGAGTTAAGGGTAGCTGTTAAATCTCATCCTGCCAGAATCCAGGAAATTAAGGGTGGACCTGATAGAGGTCATTGAATCATAGAATTATACAGCACAGAAGGAGGCCATTTGGCCCATTTTGTCGTGTCGGCTTTTTGAAAAGAGCTAACCAAATCAATCCAACTCCCCCACTCTCTCCCTGTAGCCCTGCAAATTTGTCCTCCCCAAATAACTATCTACATCTCTCTCTTAAAAGTTGTTGTTGAATTGGCTTCCATCACTCTTTCAGGCACTGCATTCCAGATCCAAACAACTCGCTGTGTAACGATTGCATTGACACTCTTTCCTGTCCACCACCCCTCCTCCCGTGCATCCATTTGCTTTTGACTCCTCTTCCCAGAGGTGTCATCACCCTCATCAGTATTCAGTGTAGGGAACTGATTTGTAAGTGCCACACTCTCAGCGGATTTCTTTACTACTTATCCCCTCTTCCTACCATGCTGGGTTGTCACCCACCACTCTCCTTCTGAAGCCTCTGTGGCTGTGGGGTGACCATCTCCTGAAACGTTCGATCCATCAACTCTTCAGCCTCCTGTATGCAATGTAGTGACACCAGCCTCTCCTTGTCAGAAACTCTGAGCTCAAGCTTGAGCAGTGGGAGGCACTTCCTACACATGTGTTTGTCCAGGGCATACAAAGCATCCTTGAGTTCCCACATGGTACATATTGTGCTGCAACAGGCCTCAGCTGCCCTGCTATATTCCCAGACACGTTTTTTATTATTTTAATATAAATATTATATATTTTATATTTATGTATCTCTGTCCCCCTCTGCATCAAATTCCCCTCTCACCAAATTCGTGCACAGAATTCCCACTCTGTTCCTTCCTCACTCAGGTACGTCCTCGGTCTGCTGGGCTCTCTGCTCGAGAGCAGGGAAATTTATATATTTTTTAAATTTATGAGGTTTTATCCTTCATCTTTTATTTGTTTTTACTTTATTTTCCCCTGTTTAAGATTATGAGAGAATTGGACAAGGTGTATGTTTGGATAATGGTAGGTTGCTTCCAGTTGTTGGCGAGTCTACAACTGGAGGGCATAGATATACGGGGGACAGTAGTAGATCTAATAGGGAGTTTAAGAGGAACTTCTTCATGCAGAGTGTGGTGAGACTTTGGAACTCACTGTCAGAAGTTGTGCTTCAATGTATTGAAGAGTAAACTCATGAGGAAGAAGGGAATAGAGGGTTATAGGAGTAGGAAATTCGAGGAATTGAGGTTCATGTGAAGTATAAGCACAGGCATGGACTAGTTGGGCCAAATGGGCTATTTCTATGATGCATCACTTTATGTTGGTGAGATTTTAGCAATTATACAAAATAGTGGTTAAAAACCTGCCCTTTAAACTTACTGTTAATGAGCATACATAAATAAAACGCAAAATGCTGCAGATGCTGGAAATCTGAAACGAAACGAAAGTCACTAGGAACACTCAGCAGATCAAATCACTTCAGAGGAAACATTCACGATCATAATTCTTGCATTTGATTGAGTGTATTTAACGCTCTATCATGTCGTAGAGACATCTAAAACCCCTTAACAAGATTTTGATATAAAAAGAAGTGACTGTGCATTTGTTAGCAAACATCTAGTGTAAGGACATTTATCTTAAGCAAACATTGTGGCCATTGTTGGCAGTAAAGTCCAACAAACAACCATGAAATGAATGATCAAATTCATTTGGGGAATTGTTGGCCAGGACACCGGGAGAAACTCCCTTCTCTTTTTGAATAGTGTCCTATAAGATTTTAAATATCTTCCTGAGCAAGCAACCTCAACTTAACATCTCATTCGAAAGATGGTACCTTGAACAATTGAGTGCATTTTAAGCACTGGAGTCATTATAGTATTTGCTTTTCTATGTGAGTTGAACATGCTGCATGAGACATGAACCCATAAACTTTTGACTTGGAGGCAAGAATAGAGAACTGTAAAGTAGCTCTGTATGATTTAGCTCCTGTGCCAACTACAAGCCTTTTACAACTGGAAAAACATGTTTAGATAATCATAACATATTTGTGCAAAGATCTATGATAGAATATGGCAAAAAAAATCTGATCTGTGTGTCAGCTTGCTTCAGTTGGTAGCATTCTCACCTCTGAGTGAGATGGTTGTGAGTTCAAGCCCCATGTCGAAATTTGGAATCCATATGATCTATGCTGACATGCCAATGCAGTCATAGGGTGTGCTGCATTGCCAAAGATGCTGATCTTGGAATGAGACATTAAACCAAAGTCCTGTTTGCCTGTTCAAGTGGACGTTAAAGATACCATGGCTTTACTCAAAAAGAGAAGGGAGTTTCTCTCGGTGTCCTGGCCAACAATCCCTCCAATAAAATTGGTTACTCACTTCATATAGGACATTTTTGTCTGAAAGTTGGCTACCACATTTGTCCTCAAAATACAGTCACACCACTTTTTAGGATATCTGTGATTCGTTTTGAGGCCACTTGATGATGTGATAAGATATCAAATGCAAAGATTATTATTATGTTATCTAATTTCTACAAAACAGTGCAATATATCTCTAAATTTGATAACTACAGTGTGTATAAAAAGAAAACAGCTTCAGACTCTTCAAAAACTAAGGTAATGAAATAGTTATCTTATAATAAATTTCTACGGTTATACAGTTTTTTTTCGAAAACATTACTCTGAAGTCAAGCTCCTGTTAAAAATAATTAAAGGCAGAAAAGCTTAGTATGAACATTGGATCTAGGAAATGTAGATCCGGACATGTTGTGCCTTTCAAGTGATCCTTGAGATGCAACAGAGTCCTAAATGAAAAGGGGAAAACATTTTATTGTAGAGATTTTGCTGTCGCAATCCTTGTATGTGTCAGATACTACAGTGCCTAATCATCAAAACATGTCAAAGTAGCTGCTTTCAAGGTTACTGGCTGTTTTTGTAGACAGTTGTGGCAGGCATTAAATGAATGATTGTTGGCTGGGAGAAACGCCCTTTTTTTGTCATGTGATGTTTAGTTTAAAGAGCAGATATTCAGAAGCTTAGTTCAACATCTCTTCCAGATAATGGCACCCTTGACAATGCAGCACTGGAGCAGCACATTAGACAGTGGGCTCAAGTCATAACTAAGGGCAGGAATTCACAATCTTCTGTCTCAGAAACAAGCATGCTGCCGATTGAGCTAAACTGAAACCCATTTGTAAAAAATCAATCAGATGTGCAACTTTAACAGTATTTGTGTCTTAAAATTCAACTACTGTTTGAAACATATAAGCAAATAATAATAATAATCCTTGCATCTGATATAGCGCTTTTCAAGTCTGCTTGATGTCTCAAAGCGCTTCACAGAATATCCTGTAAAGTGAATTGACTGTATATTTATGGGCAAAATATGGAAAGTGTGGGTGTTTTGTGTTTAGGAGCTAAAGCCAAAGTGGTGAAGTCATTCCTTTCACAATCTTACTTGTTTTCTCTTTATTTCCTCCAGTGTACATCTTTCTGATGTGTTTCTTGTTCCTCTGGACTACAGAGCTCCCTCTTTACTCACTTACGTCAGCCCCGGGCTACATCATTTTGTTTAATAGTGGCTAAATGATGACCTCATTGATGCACAGTTTATGTATAAATCCCTTTCATCTTTAGCTAGTCAGAGCAACATGGGAGTGTGGTTTACAAAATGAGCTGCAAGTCTTCCATTCAAATAATTTATTCATAATTCTAGCAAGAAAAATACATTAGAACCATGAAAAGGAGAATCAAAGTAGATGCTCATGGAGCAATTTTCTTGATCCATAAACACACAATGACAAATATTTACTGGATGTAGGCAGAACTCTGGTGTCAGCCTGGTTCATTTCGTAGCACTTTTGTCTCAGGTTGACAAGATTGTGGGTTCAAGCCTCACGTTCAAACTTTGATAGTCTGGACTAACACTCCTAGTGCAGTGCTGGGGAATGTTGCATTGTCAGAAGTGCCATCCTGTTTACCTGTTCAGGTAGATGTTAAAGATCCCATGACACTATTCGAAAAGACGAATGGAGTTTCTCCTGGTGTTGTGGCCAACAACCCCCCAGATAAAAATTTAATTCATGGCTGATTGTACGACATTGCTGTGTGCAAATTGGGTGCCCAATTCACCTATAAATACAGTCACTACATATTAGAGTAAAATCTTGTGAAGTAATTTGAGATGCTCCAATGAAGTGATTAAGTATCAAAAGTAAGGATTATAATTAGAAATAAACAAAATGAAGGATACAACAATTTATAATATAATAAAATGGATGAGTGTTCATAAACTGCTGGTAAGCTTGGTATGTCACATTGGACTTGGAGCTCGTGAACATCAAGGTTGCTGGAGTGTTGCAATTTGTCCTTCAATGCTCTTCCCACTACGCTGAAGGCAGATATCCTTCAGATAGCTGATGAGGAAATTATGAAGCGTGGGACAACAAATGCTGGAAGACATTACCTGGAGTCCGGATCCGTGAACATACACTCATAAATCTAGAGCTCGGTATCCTCCTTGATAGGGAGTGAGGTAACCAGCTGCTGCTCAAGCTCCAGACCACCAACTGCTGGAATATCACTCAATGCGGAGGGATGTGTGTCTAAATTGTGAGAAGGAGGAATGGTGTCAGTGCTCTCACACATTTCATTCCTGAGCTGTGCTGCTCACCAAGAAGCTCATATGGAGTTCCTGATACTTGATAATCACCTAGTAATGGCTCAAACCTGTGCCTGTTATGTCAAATGACCAACTAGTTACTGTTCTCCTTTGGGAGGATAAGTGGGATCTCCTTATGGGCTGAGCTGACTCCAAAGTGATGTGTTGGCAATGGAATGTCAGAACCGGGTCCACTCTCCTTAGCAGTCTCAGTAGTCTAGCTCCTGAGCCAGTATTCCAGGACACTGCAGATGACAGACCAGCTAGCTTGCTTCATCAGCAAGACCTGGAGGGGCAGACACTGGGAGCAGGATTCATCCTATTCATCTGCTATTAACCCTACAAGCCAATGCCCTAAAGGAAAGAATGGTCCTAACTGGACAAGCAGCAATAAGCTTGTCAGATAATGCTTTCAATGGCAAGCTATTGGTTTTAGCTGGATGGACTCCCATCAGTACCCCAATACATATTCCGGGGTCCCCAAGCCTTGGCTTTTGCTAACTAGTAGCAAATACTCTCTGGAATTAGGTAAGCAGTGTAGACTCCTCCATGGAGAGAGTGCACATTCCATTTCAGACACAGGGAAACTTCCATATATGGGTGGATTTCTTGTGTGAAAGTTAAATTTGGTTTGCATACTCATAAGCATGATGATGGGTTTGCACATGTGCCAGACACCTGGCTGACCAAATAAAAACTAAGATTACAGTAATAAAAATGATTTAAACATAGGATTGTATTATTAACCATAACCTACTCAAGTAAATCTAAACTTTGGACATCTGTATCATATCACTTATTGCTGAACATTTAATTTAAAGTTGCATCATATGATAGCCTCTTCTCAGAGACATCAAAGAATGATTGAGTGAAGAAGATAAATGATGTTCCTGGACTAGTTATACTTAAACTCTGATGTGATTAGAAAACATAGAGAAAGTTGAGCTCTGTCACAAAATAAAAATAATAATAATCCTTGCATTTGATATAGCGCATTTCACATTTTCTAGATGCTTCAAGGCACTTCACAGAATATACTGTAAAGTGAATTGATTATATTTGTCTGCGAAACGCGGCAGCCAATTGCGCTCAGCAGTGTCCCACAAACAGTCATGAATGGAAGTGACCAATTTATTATTGTTTTTTTTGAGGGATTATTATCAGGCGTATGGAGTAAGGGAACTTGCCCAAGGTTTTGCTCTGCCGGAATCGAATCCAGATCTCTCGCTTGCGAGGCGAGCGCTCTAACCACTGAGCTACAGGACTCCACAAAATAGTGCAACACTTAACATTTGATTGTAGACATTATAGAATAAAAGGTCAAAGCTGTGGCAGGTGATAATATCACTGGTGATAATTATCATGTCAACCAATAATAAGGTCAGATGTAGTTAATAATAATACTTACATTTAGTATAACCACCTTTCACATCATGAGGACATCCCAAAGTGCTTCATAGAATATACTGTAAAGTGTACTGACTGAGTTTTGTGGCAAATGTGTTTTGTGGCAATGTGGCAGCCAATTTGCACATCGAAATGCCCCACAAACAGCTGCAAAGTGAATGAACAATTTTATTTGGGGAATTATTAGCCAGGACACTGGGAGAAATTCCCTTCTCTTTTTGCATAGTGCCCTGAGATCTTTAACATCCACCTGAACAAACACTGGGAGTCTTGGTTTTAACGTCTCATCCAAAGGACGGTACCTCCAACAATGCAGCATACCCTCAGCACAGCATTGGAGTGTCAGCCTGGTCTATATGATTTCCAAGGCCTGACATAGGCTTTGTACTCACAATTTTCTGACTTAGAAGTGAGACGGCTATCAACAGAACCAGATACTGATATTCTCACTATCGATGGCCATGTAATGCTAATGATAAGTGGCAAATGCTTTTGATCACATTTTGGTCAATATGCTGAATATCACCGTTGATGTAATCATATCTCAGTCTTGACCTCTGTTGTGAAAGGAATCTTTCATTTAGTTTTAATTGCTCCATTTATGTGTATGTTTTTCATGAAATACTGTCAAAATATTCAACTAATGTGGATTACAATGTCTGACATCTAACCTTTCTTGTTTCAGGCTGTATGGCACACCACAGAATATTGATCTCTGGCCTGCCCTGATGGTAGAAGATATAATTCCTGGTACACGAGTGGGTCCTACCCTCATGTGTCTGTTTGTCACTCAGTTTAAGCGGCTGAGGGATGGTGACAGGTAAAGCACTCCTAGGAACAATAGATCATGTGCAATGAAGCCAGTGATGTATAATAATAAAGCTCTTTGAGAGATGTTCAGCCTAATAACTCAGAAATGTTGCAAACACAAATGGATTTGGAGATGCACAACAAAGCTAAATTGTTTTTTTCTCTTGCACTGCTGCCTCAATGATGGATGGTTCATTTCTTCATCACTGTTTGAAGATTGATCTCTTCTCATATTGTTGCTGTTTGGTATCTTGGCTCAGGTGTATTGAAAAAAATAAGTCTCAAGAAGTGCAAAGTGCAGAGATACAAACAGTATTATTATATGGTATTGATTTTAAGCTTAAATAAAAATGATTTATATTATTTTATGCATATTCCCTTATAGAGTAACAACAACAACAACAAGATTGCATTTGTATTGCGCCTTTTATATCGGGAGGACATCCCAAGGCACTGGACAGTGTACAGCATTTCAGACCTGAGCTCGGGTCAGGGGGGAGAAGGGAAAGGAGGGGAAGGGGGATGGCCGATGGCATGGTCGAAGAGGAGGGTCTTGAGGCGGGACTTGAAGGAGGCTAAGGAGGGGGCGAGGTGGAGTGATTGAGGGGTGGAGTTCCAGAGGTTGGGGGCAGAGTGGCTTAAGGCTCTCCCGCCAATGGGTGGGTCGGGGGACGTGGAACAGGCTGGAGCCGATTGAGTGGAGGGAGCGGGTGGGTTGGTAGGGGGTTAGAAGGTCACAGAGATAGGGTGGGGCGAGACCATTAAGGGCTTTGTAGATGAGGATCAGGATTTTGAACTGGATCCTCTGAAGGATAGGGAGCCAACGGAGTCAGACAAGAATGGGGGAGATGGGGTCACAGAGTTTGGTGCGGGAGAGGACAAGGGCTGCAGTGTTCTGGAATATCTGCAGCCTGTGGAGGAGAGGTGGGAAGGCTGACAACCATGGTGTTTGCATAGTCGAGCCTGGATGTGATGAAGGCATGAACAAGAGTTTCAGCGGCCTGAGGGGTGAGTTAGTGGCGGAGTCGGGCGATGTTACGGAGGTGAGGGAAGGCAGAGCGGATCATGGCTTGGATGTAGGGAAGAAAAGAAAGTTGAGGGTCGAACAAGATACCTAAGTTCCTGACTGGCTTGGTGATTTGAAGTGTGCAACCATTGAGGTTGATGCTGCCAGAGCCTGAGGTGCAGAGGCGCTGGCGCGAGCCAATCAGGAGGACCTCAGTCTTGTTCATATTCAACTGTAGGAAGTTTGCCCTCACCCAGGACTTGATGTCAGACAGGCAGTCTGTCAGGACAGCAGTGGTCCTGTAGTTGAGGGTGGAGGCAGAAAGATAGAGTTGGGTGTCATCCGCATACATGTGGAAATTGACCCCATGTCTCCGGATGATGTCACCAAGGGGGAGCATGTAGATATTAAAGAAGAGAGGGCCAAGGACAGAGCCCTGGGTGTTGAAGTATGATCCTATAAATAGTATGATCTGATGAAGAACCATGTTTTTGGTGTTGAAAGATTTTTCCTTATAATGGATCGACAGGTACACCTTATGCTGAAATATGTCAAACTGGCTTATCAGCAGGACTTGAAGGGACAGACTAGTCACTGGGGTCTGGGATTCTTCCCACTCAATTCCTGCAAGCAAATCTCTAATGGTTAGGGTGGTCCTACCTGGATAAGCAGCAGGAAAGCTTGCCAGGACTACATTTGTCAGAAACCCAGCTGATCGAACAAACTCACGTTGAGCAGCTTTTGAAATACATGATTTTGAGCTCTCAGACTTCAATTGAAAGAGAACAGGACACTACATCCCTTAGTGAGCATGATCACCCATGGTCATGGTGAGCATGACCCCCTGTTGTTTAACACCAGCACTCTACAATCACAAATAATATATAGAACACAACCTTTAGATTCAGAGTATGATAATTCTGATCTCTGAATCCAAAATTCAGGTGATCAGAATCCTCAACCCTGCAACTTACTAACCATTGTGAAAGAAAGAACAAAAGAACAATATTTTGCCATTTATTAATTAGCATAGAATCATAGAATTATACAGCACAGAAGGAGGCCATTCAGCCCATCACGTCTGTGCCAACTCTTTTAAAAGAACCACTCCAAATCAATCCCACTCCATCTCTCTATAGCCCTGTAAACTTGTCCTCCCCAAATAATTATCTACTTCTCTTCTAAACGTTTTTATCGAATCGGCTTCCACCATCCTTTCAGGCAATGCATTTCTGATCTGAACAACTCGCTGTGTGAAAACAATTCTTCTCACCTCCCCTTGATTTCTTTTAACAACATTTTAAATCGGTGTCCTCGGGTTACCAACCCACCCGCCAGTGGAAATAGTTTCTCCTTGTTCACCCTATGGAATACCCCCGTAATTTTGAAAATTTCTATTAAGTCTCCTCTTAATCTTCTCTGCTCCAAGCAGAATAATCCTAGCATCTCTAGCCTCTCTCTGATAACTGAAGTCCGTCATTCCTGGTACCATCCTGGTAAATCTCCTTTGCACCCTTTCCAATGCCTTGACATCCTTCCTAAAGTATAGTGCACAGAACTGAATACTGTACTCTAGCTGAGGCCTAACCAGTGTTTTATAAAGGTTCATCATAACTTCCTGACCTTTGTATTAGTATCTTAGCTTAGTATCAAAACAATTTGTCAAAACAATTTATTGAAACCATATAATTACACTTCTGAGATACCATTACCTTGCTGTAGGAACACAATTGAAATGCTGCAAACCAGGAAGAGATGCCCTGGAGAATTAACACTATTCCTAATGTTATGACTTGGATCTCAAATGTTGCAGGTAGCCTTCTTTCTCGTCCTCCAATGAAATTTTCAGACTCCGAGACTAACACTCCTGACTCCCAAGTAATGTACCAGTAACTCGCACAATTTCTACAAGATCTTGTATAGAGAATTACCTGCCAAATGATTAACTTCCTTGGAAAATTGCTTGGGGCCTTGAAAGCATTCATACTTCACAACATACCATGCTTGCAGTGAGGTATTGGCGTCATTCATAACGACACTGATATAACTCATGAGATAAGTAAAACAGGATGCGATTTTGTTGTTTTTAATAGAAAATAACAAACAGTTACGGAATTTGGTCTTGTGTTTAGCATTTCCTTAATTTGGCTCAGCTGAACCAGTTGCATTCAGACCAGTCTATCCCTTTGGCATGGATCCATGCTAATCTTTATTGAGCACATTTGTGAATAAATATTCAGATCTTTACAAAATATTTAATACAGAGCTAGCCTGGTTTCTTGAAAATAAAACCTTTTTCTAAAAAGGGTTCTGAGATATTTAACATACAACAGAAGCATGAGTTAAGTTAAGTTCTGCCTAAAATGTTCTCATTCTTTTCTCTCTAAGGTATGCAATAATAATAATAATCCTTGCATTTGATATAATACTTTTCATGTCTTCTAGACATCTCAAAGCGCTTCACAGAATATACTGTGAATTGACTGTACATTTGTGGGTGAAACACGGCATCCAATTGCACACAGCAGTGTCCCACAAACAGTTGTGGATTGAAAATGACCAATTTATTATTGTTTTGTTTTTGGAGGGATTATTATTAGGCATGTGGAATAAGGAAACTTGCCCAAGGTTTCGCAATTCAATATGTCTTGAAATTCTGCAGTGTGAACACATCTTGTCCAATTCTGTCCACCCATACACAATATTGCACTTTAAAGGTAGCCAGATTGTCATGAAAATAAGCCTGGTAGAACATCTTGAATTTTCAAATGAGATGAGGCATGTGGCATTACTTGCAAGTGACATAATAATGGGGTTTAAAATGCAGCAATCGTGCTCAAGATTTTGTTTTCAGGATGTTTCTGGGGGGCGAAAAGGCGTCTATGAACCCGACAAAAAAATATGAAAGCATAATTGCCCGTTGCAAAACACTGCAATGTGTCAACTGCAATGTGTCCATCACTGCATTGTCTTTGCCAACAAATAAAAATTAACATGATAGCAGTTGCAGTTAGGAGTAGACCACAGATCCATGCTTCCAAATGAGGACTATTTGGCCCATCATTGCCACTTTAATGGTTATTGATGCTGTTTTTACTGTATTATTCTCAGATTTTCCTGGAGGCATTCTCAAATTGTTACATGCAGCTCTCATTAGTCGTTGACTGAGTACAACACCAGTATTTGGGAGTAGGAGTGAGAACGCTTGAGACAACCTCTTACAATGTTTTATTTCTGCATTTCAACAAAAGTTAGAAACCATTTTGAAATAAGTGTTGCAAGCCTTCAAAATTCTGAAAGGTTTTGAGAGGCTAGATACTGAAATTGTATTCTTGCAGCTTTATGATTTGGTTAAAAAAAGATGTTACATCAAGATTGTTACCAAAAGAGTTGAGAAGGAGGTTAAAATAAACTTTTTCACGGTTCATCAGAACATAGAACTCTCGTCAAATGTGCGGTGGAAAACATAACAGCACTTAAAATTTAAAATCTTATTCTAAATGGCTTCAAAATTTAGAATGGCTTCAAAATTAAGACTGAATTTGCCTAATTCTGCACACACTCAAATGCTAAGAAAATAGGATAAATCAACAACTTAAAAGTTAAAAGACAATTGATTAAATAAAGAAACATTTGCTGAGGAAATGAATATAAAAGAGTTCAGGGAAAGAGCAGGGAATTGGGATTATTGTGTGTAGCTCCACTGATGGAGCTAGCACCAGTTAACACAAATGGATTTGGTAATCCTATGAATCCTGCTGTAAATCAGATCTTTGCAGGGACCATGTCATTTTCTTTCAACTGTTAGTCTCTCAGGTTTCCATTTCTTCCTTTCTATTTCTAGGTTCTGGTATGACAATCCCGGTGTGTTTACCCCAGCCCAGGTCACACAGTTGAAGCAGAGCTCTCTTGCTGATGTGCTCTGCAACAATGGTGACAATATTCAGCAAGTCCAACCAGATGTCTTTTTGAAAGCCGACTATCCTCATGGATACGTGAGGTGCGATGAAATCCCAAGGATCGATTTGCGAATGTGGCAAGATTGTTGTGAAGGTAAGTTCAAACTGATTCATACACAGCCTGCCTCAGTCGGTAACACTTTCACATTTAGGTCAGAAGAATGTGGGTTGTGGCAATATGTTGGGCTCATGGTTTAGCCTAACAATCCAGTGCAGAAGGAGAATCCAGTGCAGGGATAGCGTTGAGTTATGAGAGGTACCATCCTTTGGTCCGTGGTCTTTCACTATAATGTATCACATGTGAGATTCAAACATTAGTTAGGTTGATAGGAAAGAAAACCCTCTTTTTACTTAATTCCTTTCAAGTAACCAATTAAAGTTGGTCATTCACTTCATGGCTGTTTGTGGGATATTGCTCTGTGCAAATTGATTGCTGCATTTGACTACAAAATCACAGTCACTACACTTTACATTATATCCTGTGAAGCACTTTGAGACACCATCTTGATGTGATAGGCACTATGTCACTGCGCATCATAGTGTGAATAAGTCATCTCTGGAAACAGAAAGAATGAAATCTACAGGATGTTATTTCATACACTTCTGGTTACATTTGTGTTAACAGTAAGAGTCAAAACAGTTCCACAGAATCCTGAAGTAAACGACAGCTGGAGAAATGGTGTTGCGATCAAAGCTTACTTCCCAGATGAAATTGGTTGAAAGAAAGTTTAAGAAACTAATATATAATTCTGAGAATTTAATCATTTGATTTTATGCACACTTAGCTGAGCTAGCTCAAAGATTAGACATCTTAATTACTGTGGGGCCCTGGGGAAATTAGGGCTGGTGGATTTTGTTGAGGAAACATTATTCAAATTTAACTAAAATTTTTGAAATTGGTACCAAGAGGGCTTTATTGATCATAAGGAATGGCACATGACATTGCCATTTCAAGCCTCAATTAACAGTGCTTCCTTAGCATTACACCAGGGGCTGTCATGAGAAGAAGGCTATCAGTTTAAGTCCTCCTGATCTTAACTCCACATATCAGCTCTATCAATCGGGGGCACTTTGAATTGTTAGCCCATTGTTTAAGATGTAAGTGTTTATTGTGTGAGTGTGGCTGCTGAGAATAATGATTTGTCACGGGTTTATGTGGCTTTTCAAGTGAAAACTTACATCATATAATTGTCATTGTTATTACAAAGTGCATTTCTTTCTTTGTACTTCACCTTTAATTAGAATCATCAAACTTGTGTAGAAAGTGGACAATATGGACATCTGTATGCACCTGCTAAATATTATGGAAGGCTATATTTTATTTATATTCATGTATTCATTCATTTATTTATCTATTTATAATTATCCCCCTAATTATATATGTACGGTATATACAGTATATAACTATAGTCAATATTAATGAACAGATTGCACTTTGCAATTTTCTAGTTACATTGTAGAAAATTCTGCCTCATTGAAGTCTTCATTTATTGACCGTGTGTGCCTTCCTCCCCACCCACAGTAGTTGGGCTCTCAGCCCAACAATACCATTGGACTTGCCTTGGGCCAGCTTACAGCTCAACCACTGTGATGAAATGTGGGCAGTGTGTGTGTGTGTTGTGCTTGTTCATGTGCAAGGTGGGGGTGCAGGGTGTGAGGGTGGGGTACCAGCAATCACATCTCGGACTTGTCAGTAAATGCAGATATGACGGGACAGAATTTTGAAGCTTGTGATAATTAACAGAAGCAAGAGTATCATGAGGTTAAGTAACTTTGACCCATCACAGGTCACAATGCTTGTTTCCCAGTGAACTGTAAATTAAACTTTGACTTTGGGTAAAGAGTTAAAGGGGCACTAGTTACAACTTTTTTTGTGTGTACATGTGTGTGTGAATCCATGGCATCAAAACCTAAATTGTGTCAACATTAACCAACTCTTGTATGTGAGTGTCAAAATTATTGTCATGACACTGTCATACAAGAGACTTCTTCAAACAAAAAACAGTTTAACCAGCTTCTTCTTTATGAAAAGGGTGCCCATTACTTATTGAAACTTTTCCATGTATCTTAAAACAATTGCCTTTTAATCTTGAGCCTTTGTGAACATTTATTTTTAATTTTTCTATTCTGTGAGCTCCAAATTGTGTGTGTCTGTATATGTGTGTGCATGCATTTGCTTTAAATGTATGTCTCCTTTGTCTTGTGTTTTTTGTTGTCTGCTCCTCCTGGGATTTGTTCTTGTATTGTCTCATTTATTTGTTGTAAGCTCTTCTTTCAGGTCTCTTATCTAATGTTCGTGATTTTCATAGCCGTGTATCACTGCTTATCCAGCGCTACAATCGCATCTACAAGCATGTTCGTGAGCACAAGGACAAAGGCGAGTTGGTTGGCAGTTCTAATTTTGCAGTAGAAGTTTCAACCAGCATGACTTTCACCAAAGGAAAGGATGTAGGGATTGTGCAATATGCAGAATGAGATTTATATTTGTGGAGTCCTGTAGCTCAGTGGTTAGAGCACTCGCTTTGCAAGTGAGAGACCTGAGTTCAATTCCAGTCAGGGCGAAACCTTGGGCAAGTTTCCTTACTCCACACGCCTAATAATAATCCCTCCAAAAAAACAAAACAATAATAATTTGGTCATTTTCAATCTACGACTGTTTGTGGGACATTGTTGTGCGCAATTGGCTGCCGCGTTCGCCCACAAATATACAGTCAATTCACTTTACAGTGTGTGCTGTGAAGCGCTTTGGGACGTCCTCCCGACGTGAAAAGCGCTATATCAAATGCAAGGATTATTATTATTATTATTATTAGATGTTTTAGGAGAACACATTTAATAAAGTAATATGGAGCACCACTAGAACATATTTAAAAATAGCCATTTCCTTCACGTCATTTTTATAATCCAGTCTCAACTGTACAAACTGTATTAGTACAATATGATTGTTAGTAGTACCATATGTACAATGCAGACTTTAAACAATGAACTTAATATCTGAACTATCAATATCTAGCAGAGGTCCAGATGTTGATTATTAAATAACGTTTTCTGGGCACTTTCCTGCTTCCCAATTAGCATTGAGGATATTACGATTGTTATCAAGCTTGCATCCTACCAACAGAATGAGCACATTAAATATAACTATTATAAATGTTTAAAAGTACACCCATGAAGCATTTGTTGTCATTAAGATGACAGAGGAAACGCAGCATATTTCTAGGGTGCTTAAACTATTTCTAAAGTCTCTTACTCCCATTACAACAAGGGAATTATAGCCCATTACACACTGCAAACCCATTGCCTTGTAGAAAGCCAATTCACATCATTAACAAATTTGGGACATGTGTTAAACAAATCAAATATCAGGAAATAACAAAGGACAAAGGTAATAGTTCCATCTGCAGCTTTGGATGAGATCCAGAAACTGTTCCATTTATATTCTTATGGTTAATGATATCATTAGTCCCCTGCAGTTCATGGAATTATTGCCTTGTAACTAATTTCTCAACATTAAATTTCTTGTCTTCTTAATGAATATTAATATTTTGCAGATTTTTGTGGGTTGTAAATGTAGAACAAACACATTAAAAATTCAAAACCTATTTTCGCCACAGAAAGATAATATAGAAATCAGGCAATCCAATGATTTACATATATTAAAATGTAATCTGTGTACAATACGTTTGTGTAGTTTACAGAACTCATTTGCTATTCCAGGTTTGCGGGAACCTCTATACCGTTTACACCAGCAACTCAGCAGACTGTCTAGGCTGGTGACTAGTCTCGAGAAGACAGTGTCAAAACCTGTTGTTCGAGGCGAGTCTTTTAATAATATGACTGAAGAATTTTTTTGCAAATTCTGATATATTTTATTAAAGGGAAGAAAGAGAAAGCACTTAAAGATATTTGAAAAACTAGCACTGGTGTAGGCTTCATGGGTCGAACATTCCCTATCAGTGCTGTAAATAATAACTGAAATCTGTTATTATTTGAGTTTGACTCCCAGCATCTTTGATCTTGAAATCAAAGGTTTCATTTGTAGTACATGGTAGTGGTGGTGGTGGGGGGGGGGGTGGGGGGGGGGCTGGGGTGGGGGCTGGGGGGAGAGAGGCAAATGATCAAATTGGAATTACATGGATGTGCCGTAGAAGGATCCCCTTCCCCTCTTAACACCTTTTGCAACATAATACTAGTTGGCAAGGTCATGCGCTTTACTAAAGAAATACCTCAGGATTAAAGCTACCATCCTACTAACTGGCCATCAGAAGCCATGGTTTGTGAGCCACAAATGGAATGGTGAGACTCAGCGTCATGGAAGCAGCAGTGAAAATGGTCATTTTGGAGTTTGCCTCTGACACATCTAAACAATTCAATCATTTCTAAAGTCAAACCCCATCTAAAACACAGTATAAGATCAACATTTCACTGGGCATACATTCACAAGTTTTGGCCTGAACCTTCACTCTGTCCCACCAAACTTTGTCTCTAAAAATGACCTTGGATCCCAATCTGCTCCCATGGACAATTGTGGAAATTCCTGGTGAGATTAATTTAACTGTGAGCAATAATTTACAAGCATCTTAACTGGCTAGGAACTGTTTCAGTAACAGCAGCTTATTGAATGTTAAAGTGCTTGAAATTATTACATTTTAATTTTCTTGAGTCCTGAGGAGCCCATACACAACAAAAATCAACTAATAAATTGGAAGAAGAATGCATGGAGCTGGTACACTCCAGATTGATGGCCATTGTTCAACCCGAAGTCTAAAAGTTTTTTCTGGACAACAAATAGATACCAAAGCTAAACTTAATTACTTAAAAAGTCTAACATTCATTCAGAATTAATTCAGAAATGTCTGGTCTTCCTTCTTCTAGGGATTATATGTGAACAGTTAAGAGATAATTCAATACCATTTACCCTGATAGCAAAACAACCTTTAGCGCAGGTCCGTTTTAGATTGAACAGAAGAAAAAGCTCATTGCATTGACTACTTTAAAATCACGAACCACACAAACCTCTTCACTAATATTTCCCTGTTGTGTGTAACTGTTTGTATGGTCTTTATGTGCCTGTTTTCTGAAGCTACTTCTAAGCCTTGTGTGTTAAATAGAAGTCATAAATTTATTGGTACAAAGTTGATGCCTTCAAGGTCATAGTAACCTTCTCCCACCTTCTGCTGGATTATGGCTGTGAACAGATTGTAAGCTTCAAAGATCGTCTTTCTGCTTTGGTCTCAATGTGGTGCTTATTAGCTGACTGAATGCAAATCACATTGCAGTCCTTTCACATTCAGCAGTACTTTTTTTTAAATTCCACATTATTTCATTAGCAGCTAAGCACTGCCACTCAGTGATGGATTTTGCAATCTAGCAAAGCAGAAAACAATTGGTCTTTGCAAAAGTGGAAATGCTTTCATGAAAAAACAGCCATATTGTGAAAGCACAAAGGTAACAGCCTGATAGTCATTACAGTACAAAAAGTATGTGCAATTGTATCTTTAGTGCTGGTCCCTGTTATAGAGAGATAAGAACATGGTTGACAATGACAAAATATGTTCCAGTGCTTCAAAATGAACCTGATTGCTTTGTGTAGATTGTAGAACTCGAGGACAGTTCAGTGCGCTTTCACGCCAGTTCCGAAACAAACGATCAGCAGAATTCAGTTATCCGGAAGAAAGGCACAGAAGAGAAGCCAAAGTGGTGCCTGGTGAGAAGAAATGGAGGTAGGACACACAGACAAGGTTCAGATGAAAACACCAAGGTTTCCCTGGTCATTGGTAAATGTATACACATTTAAAAATGTATGAGTGTATTATGGCATCATCTCATTTGCCAATATTGGTAAATGTGTTATGATTAGAGATTCACCTCAATTAAAGGTTTTATTTTGCCCCATTCCAAACAAAAAAACAATAATAAATTGGTCATTTTCAATCCATGACTGTTTGTGGGACACTGCTGTGTGCAATTCGCTGCCGCGTTTCGCCCACAAATAATAATAATAATAATCCTTGCATTTGATATAGCGCTTTTCACGTCATATGGTCAATTCACTTTACTGCATATTCTGTGAAGCGCTTTAAGATGTCGAGAAGACGTGAAAAGCTCTATACCAAATACAAGGATTATTATATTATTATATTATTATTGCTATAAACTACTTGAATGCTGTATACAGCTTTATTAAGCCTAATAAGGCTGAGGAAAGTAATAGTACCAAGTTTTCCAGTGAAGGGTAGACTGTGTATGTAATAGATTCACATAATAATAGACTGTATTGACCCATAGTTTTTCTTACTGTAAAGTGTTTTAGTAAGAAAAAAGGATATGTGGACACAATGTCATATGCTTAAATAAGAATCAGCAATAGAAATTCCTTTCCTTTAAAGAGGATAGGGGGGAATTCCTTTGGTAAATTTATACAGTGTCAGTTTATAATGGAAAACAAGTCCAAATTCACCTCGCCAATATCTGAAAATTCATGCTTTAGCAGAGAATATTACCTCAATCCCAATGACACACAGATATTATGTATCTGTGGGAATTATGTTCTGCAACACATGGCCTCACTACAACAAGCAGTCTGAATTCAATTAACATTTTGCTGCTCGTGAAGGAGATCACTGAGTCCCATCTGAAGGTTGGAACATTGTTTATTTGGCACATTGTTTATTATGTTTCACACTTTTGTTAATGATAGGCCTTTTGAGAATTTATAGCATTTCACTTTCACTCCATTATTTTGTCAGATATTAAAATTGGTTCTTTTCTCATTCGAAAGATTTGAACTCTTTTCCTAAACAGATACAAACAAGACTTGAGTGAGTTAGCAAACGCAACAAATTTTCAGCAGAATGTGGATGAGACTCCTCAGGATTTCAACAGCTTTGTGACTGAAATGCAGAAGACCATCTCGTCCCTTCGCAAGCAGGTGTGAACCATGAAATTAAATTGTTAATACTTGTGCATATCTATTAGTTTTGAGAAAGTCTTTTTTTAAGCTTGGTTAAAAAAACATGTGGAAGTAGGCAGTGGTCTGTGAGATACTAGCTAAATATATCCTGTTTTGTGTATATGTGAAGCCGTGTGCAAGTGCATGGGGTGAAATGTAGATGAAATTTAATATGTGAAGCTTTGTGTGGGTGAGAATGCAAGCGACAGAGTTTTGGATAAGCTGGAGCTTGCAAATAATGAAGCTGGGGAAATCAGCAATAGGGGTATTTGAGAAGTCGAAACTGGAGATGATGAAGGCATGAATCAGGAATTTTCCAGTGTTGGAGATGAGGTAGGAATGGAGGCAGAAGATGTGGTGAAGATAAAGAAAAACGGTCCACTCTTTTAAGAGAGCAGCCAAAATCCAAGGTTGCATACTAGTTGAGTGTGGAGAGAGAGGCCAGCAATAAAGTAACGTATGGCAGTAAGATTACTGCAAACAGCTTGCATTTTCCCAGAAACAACTTTATGCCTAACCCTCTCCATCTGTAACAGTGGGTGGGAAAGCGGCCATAACGAAAGAGAGAAAAATATCTTTCAAAATCAGGCAAAAAGACCCAGAAAATTTCAGGGATACAGGTTCAATCACAAAAATAAAACAGGTCAACAACAACAGCAACAACTTGGATTTATATAGCACTCTCCACGCCGGACAGTGTCTCAGATAAAACAGGTCATTTTTTAAGGCGCGATTAGTACACTGCTATTTTTTTTACTAACAACCTCTTTGTTGCTGGTTGCCAAGATTGTATGGGCAAAGTCTCTCAAAGCAATTCAATACAATTAACTTGTTTGCTATGCGGGGCCAGATAATAACCACAATGTATTCAAACTGGTAAGTTGCTTATATGTTTAAGTTTTATAACATTGCAATAATTCAAACAAATAATTTTCTAATTGCATAGGAACAAGAAGTATATTAAAATAACAAGCTTTCTTTCTCATTGAAGTTAGCTCGGGGAAACTTATGGGACTTAAATCAGGAATGTATAAAACTAGAGACGAGGAGGAGGGGTTGGGGGAGAGAAAGTATAATTGCATAATGTGAATCAATTGCTTGCTTTTGGGATCAATTAAAAGAACCAGCCAGACCCAATAAATGCTGCGTAGCAAGTTAGTTTATTCTGTTCGTTGTCCTGACAGTGAGTTGTACCTTAGGATTGAAAAAAAGAATTTCCTCTGCACATACTACTCAATTAAATATCTATATATAGCTTAATTAAAGACTTTCGAACCATACTACAACTATTGCAGGGTTGGTTAGTCCAAAGCTAATTATCTTTTCCCAGAGAAAGATCTCTTATTCTCCAAAAGGAAAATCAATTTGAATTCATTTTGATGTAAAGTGCTGTATAAAAGCAAGCTGCTCTTGTGCATAAATGCGTCTGGTTTGTCTGCCTACAATTACGCAGTCACTACACCATATGGTAGAATCCTGTGAAGTGCTTTAAGATGTTTTAATGATATGATAAGTCATTATATTAAATGTAAGAAATATTATTATTATTATTTCTCTTGTAAATGTCTCTTTCTCTTGTCTTATTGCCCAGAGGATTGAGTTCAAGATCCTTGGCCTCATTTTTAAATCCCTCCATGGTCTTGCCTCACCCTACTTCTGTGACTTTCTTAAGTCCTACCAACCTTCCACTCCCTCCGCTTGGTAAGCACTGGCCTGCTTCACATCCCATACTCTGCCCGTCCTACCTTCAGAACTCCATGTTGGAGTTCTTTCACCTTACCTCTTATCTCTCCTTCAAGATCCATCTCTAGATCTACCTCTTTGACTGCATCTTTGGACCGCACTCAGAAAGTTGGGAGTTTAACATGTTCTTATAAGTACAAACATGATCTGTACTAAAATGCCTTTGTTACAATGGGATGTTAATGTAAGATCACATGTGGTCACCTGGATGTCAAAGGTCCCTGATGTGTTTAGTCCCAACCAGTCACTAACTGGATGAAAAATATCTTCCAGGTGTTCTCAGGAGCCAAGCTCCAATGTGATTCATACTATCTTAACCTTAATACAGTATATACTGGCTCAGTACATTTGCATCTGGTGTGTTCAAGACCATATTGAGGTAAACATTTCATGGGAATCATTACAAAATGTGCAGCATATGAGGTGACCATTTTGCATTTAGGTACAGCATTTCTTATCTACAAGAGCCTTTGTTGTCTGTGATAAGAGAAGACAGTTTTGAGATCTTGCATTGATTCCAGCTTTATTCATTATGCTATTGTCTAAAGTTCCAATAATGTTTGATACCGAGTGAAAATACTTCAATGGGATGGATTTAAAAGAAGTTTCACTGCGAGATTGCTGCAGAAAAAAATAAGAAAAAAACCTGTGGCAGGGCTATGCTGTCAAAAACCATTCCTGGGAGTTGATTACTATGGTTACCACACAACAGGAGACTCACAGATAGTGCTTCAATCTTGTTGTTTTTCACCCAGCGGCCCCCTGAAGTCTCGTAATACCTGTCCTTGGGAGAGCAAATTTTAACAATTTCGAAAGCATATATTGCTCCTAATGGTTCTGCATTTGATTTCTGACAGCTTGGAAACTATCTAATTAAATGAGTGCAGTCTCTTTAATTATAATGTCATTAGCTTTCATTAAACAGTGTCTCGCTTAGCACTGCAAACCACCCGATACTTAGCTGTTTACATGCTAATGTAGCAACACCGGGTGACATTGGGACTGACTATCAGTGCCCTTCGCACCTTTGTTGTGTCTTTGTTTTTGTGATAAATAAAATGACGAGGATGCTATTTTCAATACTTACAAGTCACAGACCCAGAGTGGAGAGATAAAACAATGTTAATACCATGTGAAGGCTGTGCAGCCTGAGTGCCATTTCCAATTATAAAAGGACGTGATGAGGGTTTCATACTGGTTGGAAAATTACTGACATTGAAAAAGTGAGTTTAGCAGAAGGGTCAATTGACCACAGTCCTGCCGTGCATCGCACAGCGTGGAAAAAAAGTTTCTCGCAGGTTAACATTACTGTGGGTGTAATTTAAGATTTGAATGGATTTGCCCACAAATGGGCAAAATGGGCCTGAAGGTTATTGAAAATGAGACTGCGTTTCTTCCCTGACTAAGAAATTACTTCCCACCAGCCATCCCATTGTTAAGGTTTTCACATTTTTAACGGACATTGTCAAAGTGCGCCAGAGTTAACACATAAAGTCACAGGCCTGTGGTCTCATTTGCAACATTTCTCCATTAGGTTTATACCAATGTGTCTCCCTCCCATCCTCTGTCTGTCTGTCTCTCCTGTCCTTCCCCTGCAGGCTGCTCATTGCTAACCACTCTGCGCCACCTCTGGCCCCCACAAACTCCTGCAGGCTGACAGTGTCCCACTAATCCGCCGACTCTTGTCTTAGCGTGTGCATATTGGCTGCTGCCCCTGACCCGAGCTGGCCCTCCCTCAAAATGCCGCCCACCCTGCAACTCTCCCGCTCTGTCCTGCCGCACCATCCGTCTATACCTACTACCATACCCCACGCCCAACCGCCATGGCGGTGGTGTGGCCCTCATCTCCAGGGCGTCACTTGCCCTATCCCCCTAATCTGCTGGCTCATTCCCCTCTTTTGAACACCTTACCCTCTGCCATCCCTCCCATCTCTTACTAAAAATTCTCCTAATTTACCGCCCCCAAAATCCTCCCCCACCTTCATCTCTGACATCTCCACCCTTCTAGCTTTCCTCTGCCTCTGCTCTGACCGCCTTATCATCCTAGGCAACTTCAACCTCCACTTCATCCCCTCTTACTCCACCTCTTCAGACCTCTCCTCTGCTCTCTCAACCTCTTCCTCCACATCCACTCTGCTACCCACATTCATGGCCACCCGCTCGACCTGATGATCACCAAGGGCCTCAGCGTCTCAGATGTCACCATCACCGACAAGGCCATCTCTGACCACCATTTAATCTCCCTCAACTCCTATATCCCTCTCCCCACTGCCCCCAAACCTACCACCACCTTCTATCGCCTGTGGAAGAAGATCTCCCCGCAATCCCTCTCCGCTGCCCTGGAGTCTTCTGAACTCATCGACAGCACTCTCTCAACTACACTCAATGCCCTTGCCCCCCTCACCTCCTGAACTGCCTCCTATTCCCGATCCTCACCCTGGTTCATCAGCACCTCCGTCTGCTCAAGGGCCAGGTGTGGGCTGCCGAATGCACATGGCTCAAATCTGGCCTAATGGTACACTGGCACATCTGGCTGGACCACATCAAAACCTACCGCTCCGCTCTTGACTCGGCCAAATCGTCCTTCTACTCCAGGTTGATCCTTGAGGCAAAGGGCAACCCCAGGCTCCTGCTTCTCCACCCTCCCCATCATGCCTCGCAGATTCTTTCCTCCGACTCCCACTGCGAGGAAATGCTGGATTTCCTCAAGTCCAAAATCGAGAGAATCCACTCAGCTGCCACTGCCCTCCTAACTTCCCCACCCTCCCTACCCAACCCCCACCACGCTCCGACCACTACTAATCCCTTCTTCCACACCTTTGAACCTGTCACCCCTTCCTCTGTCATCACCACTATATCCTCCATGAAGCCCACCACCTGCTCCCTGGACCCCATCCCCACTCTTCTCCTTAAATCCCAGCTCCACCTCCTTGTCCCACTACTCGCCGACATCATCAATCTCTCTCTATCTTCTGGCACTGTTCCTAACCCCCTCAAAACAGTCACCATCACCCCCACCTTGAAGAGACCTTCCCTTGACCCATCACAGCTATCCAGCTACCGGCCCATCTCCCACCTAAACTTTTCTATCTAAGGTCATTGAGAGCGCCGTCAACACCAGCTTCGCTCTTTCCTCTCCTCTCACTCCCTCCATGAACCCCTCCAATCGGGAGTCCATGCTGCCCACAGCACAGAAACTGCTCTGGTCAAGGTCGCAAATGACATCCTTACCATGTGTGACCAGGGCTCTCTCTGCCTCCTTGTCCTCCTCGACCTCTCCGCCACTTTTAATATTGTGGACCACTCAATCCTCCTCCACCGCCTCTCCTCCCACCTCAACCTTCAAGGTTCTGTGCTTGACTGGTGCAGATCCTACCTTTCACACCACCTTCACATCGTCTCTGCAAACAGCTTCTCCTCCAGCTCCCGCACCGTCTCATGCGGTGTTCCTCAGTGCTCTGTCCTCCTCGGTCCCCTTCCCTTCACCCTCTACATGCTCCCCATTGGTGAAATCATCCGCAGACATGGGGTAAATTTCCACATGTATGCGGATAATACCCAACTCTATCTCTCTGCCTCCACCCTCAACTCCAGGACTACTGGAGTCCTGACCGACAGCCTGAACAACATCAAGTCCTGGACAAGGGACAACTTTCTCCAACTGAACGTCAGCAAGACCGAGGCCCCCCTGATTGGCTCGCGCCAGCACCTCCGCAGCTCGGGCGCTGGCAGCATCAGCCTTCATGGCTGCACACTCAACCTCACTAAGCCAGTCAGGAACCTGGGTGTTTTTTTGACCCTGAACTGTCCTTTCTCCCAACATCCGCGCCATGACCGGCACTGCCTACCACCACCTCCGCAACATTGCCAGACTCCGCCACTGCCTCACCCCTCAGGCTGCCGAAACCCTCACCCACGCATTCGTCACATCAAGGCTCGATTATGGGAACTCTCTCCTCATTGGCCTTCCCACCTCTTCCATTCACAAGCTGCAGATCATCCAAAACTCCGCAGCTCATATACTCTCGCACACCAGGCTCCGTGACCCCATCACTGCCACCCTCGCTCGACTCCACTGGCTCCCCATCCCCCAGAGGATCGAATTGAAGATCCTCGTCCTCACTTTCAAGGCCATCCATGGCCTTGCCCACTCCTACCTCTCTGACCTGCTGACTCCCTACCAACCTGCCCGCTCCATCCGTTCAGCGGGCTCCGGCCTGCTCCATGTCTCCCACCCGACCCGCCCTACCATCGGTGGCCGGGCTTTCAGCCTCTTTGCCCCCACACTCTGGAACTCCATCCCATGGTCCCTTCGCCTCACTTCCTCCCTCGCATCCTTCAAGGCCAGTCTCAATACCCTCCTCTTCGATCGTTCCTTCAGTCGCCCTCCCACCTCTCTGCCTTCCCTCACCTCTACCCCACCCCTCCCCCATGCTCGGGTCCTGACCCCTGACTGTCCAGCACCTTGGGGTGTCCTCCCGATGTGAAAGGCACTCTATAAATTTAATTTTGTTGTTGTTGTATCAGGAATCAGAGTGCGTAAACGGGGATTCCTTATGGTGACTGAAACTAGAGATCCGTGAGAACTCTGCACTGGCATAATCTACTGGCGGAGAGGAATTCTAGTGAGAATTTAGCTGAAATTTTAACAGGTTTCCAAAACCCTTGCATTTTATTTTAAATCCGCACAAATCAGCGCGTAAAAGTCAGCCTTTTGTATTTGTATTTAATAATAGTGAATTGTGATGTCATTGAATTGTCGAGTTCTAGATAATAATAATAATAATAATCCTTGCATTTGATATAGAGCTTTTCACGTCTTCTCAACGTCTCAAAGTGCTTCACAGAATATACTGACAGTAAATATATATATAGATATATATGTGGAGGAGAAGAAAATAGATGGGCATTGTCAATTCACTTTACAGCATGTTCTGTGAAGCGCTTTGAGGCATCTAGAAGACGTGAAAAGCGCTATATCAAATGCAAAGATTATGATTATTATTATTATTATTGTTGGAGGGTAAGCAGTGGGTGAAGACTCATGTGGAGTATAAACGCCATCATGGATTAGCTGGGCCAAATGTTCTGTTTCTGTGCTGTACATTCTATGTAAGTTGTGTTTTTACACTTCTGACTTGTCACAACTTTCTTCACAGATCAACAAACTGGAAGCCCGTCTGAAACAGGATGGCTGTATAGATGAAAAGGGAAAACACATGAATGAAAATGATCACTGGAAAAAGGAAGACTGTACTACCTGTTACTGTAAGGTGTGTGTGATACTGCAAGCCATTTAGGATTTCCTTTGCAGATGATTTAACATGTAGACTGCTGTCAAGTCTATAGCAACTCTTGTCTCCCTTGGCTGACTGTTTCTGTACATCCTGGGACCAGGTAGTGGTTAAGTTAGTTAGCCAAAGAAACAAAGGTAAATTGAGAGTTTTAGAAATAAAAGGATTAAAAAGATGAATGCTTCGAAACTTAAAATTGACAGTCATAAGTAATCTGGGGTCATGTGTGTGCAAAGGAATCGCCTTTAACTGATCCTTGAGCCTCCACTCCCACTTCCTGTATCTCGCCTGTGGCACGTGACGTGCTTTGAGACATCCTCCCGATGTGAAAGCTATGATATAAATGTAAATTATTGACATCAAAAACAGCCGTTGTTCTGCTTTTTTGTTTTTAAGCTGAAGCTGGAATGTAAAAAGTAGATTGTTTAATACTCTATCGCCCTTTGAACTATTAATTAATGTCCACTGAGCACAAGCTACACCCATAACAACTCACAACTGACGTAGATGGGCATGAGATCCAGTCTCGCCCAAAGGAGTTTGAGCTATATATTTAGCCACTTTTCTCACCACCTGCACAAAAGTAGCAACAACAACTTGCATTGATATAGCGCCCTTCACGCCGGATGGCGTCTCGGAGCGCTGTAATGTTCGCAACACTGTAATGCTCTCGCTGTGAAATCTTGTTTCAGAATGGCCAGGTGACTTGCTATGTAGAGACATGTCCTCCGCTGGAGTGCACCAAACCAACCACAAAGAAAGGGAGGTGCTGTCCTACCTGCGTGAAGCCAGAAAGCAGAAAATAATCTTCAGGTGCAGCTCTGAAACAAAAACTGTTCCTTGCGTAAAAAAGAAAAAATAGTTTCACAACTTCTTGCATCGTCTACTGATGTCTGGATAACAAACAAAAAGATGTTTCAGGTCACTAAAAGTGGGTGTGATCACCCCTGGCTCTCTGCACTGCTTCTGTTATCGATTTAAGCAATATCATCTGATGCTGTGTTTACACTACAGGGAGCAATGTCACTCCTCTGCCTGGCAATATTACTTAGCAAATGTGAAGGACCACAAATTGGGTGTTTATTTTTAATGTTATTATCGAGGAGGTCACCTGATTAACTCCTTAATAAAACTAAACTTGATTTGTTGTGGCTTTGAAAGGGGGAAATAAATGAAATAAGTGAAATCCACAGCCACCGCATTTATCCTGCGATAAGAATGGAACTCTTCCCTCCTGGAAACATGTCCTCAAAAGTTATGTCGGGAGCAAGGCTTCAGCTGCCTCAGAACCTTTAATATTGAGTATTTGATTCGCTGACAACATTGTGACATTTCACTGCAGGGTAAACGCAGCATGAGAAAAAAAAGTCAGTTTATGACAGTTTCCTCAAAGTACTACGTGACCTGCAGTAAGGAATTAAGGAACTGAACTACTTGATGTTCAAAAATTAAACTACTCACATTGCAAGACAGTCATGATTTGTCTGGAAAATAACACTTGTATCCATTGTTCTTTCATCACGATATTTCCTTGTACACTATTATCATTTCAAAACGCATTGCTAGCACATATTACTTACTATACACTATACTGTTATGTTCTGCATTTCGTTAAAATTAATTTATTTGAAGCAGTGATAAACATCAGAAAAGTGAATTTTTCTCATACACATGTATTGTCTAAAGACTATTTGGCATTTCTGGTCATTGGTCGATGGCTGTTTGTGAGACATTGCTGCACGCAAATTGGCTGCCGCTTTCAGCCAAAAAACTGAGTCACTTCACTTTGCAATATATCCTGTAAAGCGCTTTGGGATGTCCTCCTGGCGTGAAAGACGCTATACCAAAACCAAGGATTATTATTAATATTATTTTCCAACTGTGTGGTCAGAATATTTTTCAGTACATATTGAGGAAAGTGAAAAAGCCATGACAGTGATTGTATAAGGACCAATTGTCCTCATGCTACCAATTGTACCTCACACTACACAATGCCGGGGAAACATTATGTACAAATATGGTGCTAATCATTATGCCTCTTAAAGGAAATTTTGTCAGATTATATTTGCATTTTTAATTTTATATAAATAATTTTTGTAACACGCCAACCGTAATACCCACCTTAACACTGATGTGATGTAACTTTGTAAATGCTCAATTATAAAGTTTCTGAACAGTCATTAAATAATGAAATTGTTACATGATCATTTTAAAAAAATTGTACAGTGCGTATTGAAAACATATGTCACTGGAATACCCGACCAGTATGCGTAATTCAGAAGTATTAAAAGTAGCGGGCTGAAAAATGCGATGTGATTTGTGCTAATGCCACATTTTTCACCCTTGATATATTTGCCGTGAGTGTATTTACCTTGTGCTTAGGTATCCAACACAGAACTTGGATTTTAAGACTGCAAAAATACCATAACAATTGTGTCCATTGCTCCTCAGACGAAGTTTCTTTTGTAACTAACTGTTAGGGACAAACGAATGTGAGAGATCATGCATGTGGTCCTTTAGAACAACAGTGTTCATTAACATCAGCAGTGAAAGCCATTGACATATCGCACACATTGTTTTACCTACATTCAATTTCAGTGAAATTTGTTGAAGACTTATTCCTGTTTACATATTCTTAAGTAAATGTATTTTTTAAAAAAGTAGTTTTTATTTATAACTTTTAATACAAGACAAAATGAATCCTTGATCTCAAAGAAAATCTCAGGCACTGATTTCACCTCTTGTTTTCCATGTTTTGCAAATAAGGTAAATGTTGGTCACTGACTTGTTTTAATATGAACATTTTATATTGCTATGTGTGAAGAATGCTGAATATGAAAATGTTTTCTGCTTCAAAAGTCAAGTATATTTTTCTTTCTATGTACTGCAAAATCTGCTACTGTACCAGCCACTTCTGTAGGGTACAGAAAATGTACTGTGGGTTTTTACACAACTCTTTATAAAGGTTAATGTGGTGCCGGGACACTGATGTGGCCTCCTAATATTCTATTGGTACAGACCACATGCCAGCAAATTGCATTTGGTCTGGGTGTGAGCAAAAGGTGGAATATTAAACCTCGATGTGAAACTACTTTGGCATTGGTTATAAAAGGCAAACATCTGATAGTGCTACATGATCTTAAGAATTCTGTTCAACCACAGACGTCACTGCTATAAGTGAATCTACGTATAAGTTAACTTTCCTTCCACATTCAATTTAAATTGGTCTGGATTTCTGTGTTATTAAAATGCGCAAAAGAGTGCCGGATCTAAATGCGATAACACAACCCAGATGGCCTCTGTTTATGTTAATCTGCTATGCAGCAACAAACTAGTTTTCTTGTTGTAGTGACAGGAAATATAATAGATGTTTACTTGGTCCAATTTTCTTCCTCCTCTAATAAAGCCACTGACTCATGCTCTGGTACAGTTCCATGGGCACTGTTAGCTCTCATATGCAACACCTAATTGACTTCTTTAAATTTGAAGCAAAATTGTGCCAATGACAAACCAATTTGCAAAAAAGCCTAACATCAGGAGTGTCTGTAGAACATATGTAATTAGGAACAGGAAAAGGCTGTTGGCCCATTGTTTTTGCTCCAATGCAGACCATTCCATAACTTGTGTAGTATGACGTTCCCTAATTCCAAATCCCTGTCTCCCTGACATATGCTTTAATTTTTTTTTACTCACCAAGTATTTATCAATCTTTCTCTTAAGTCTCTCAACTAATTTCTCATCAATGGTTTGTGGACAGTGCAGTCCAGCTTCTCTTTACTCTTTGTGAGAACAATTTTTTCCTTATCTTAGTCCTAACCTGTTGCCCTTATTTTTAAGTTAATTTCCTCTTGTAACTTATGAACACTCCAAGCTCTTTTAGAAATGTGAACACCGATTAAATCACTACGAAAATTCATCACCAGAGAGTACATCCCCCAAGTACCCTGCCTTTCATTATAGATCACTATAATAAACCTACACTAGACTCCCAAAAGTCAATATGTCCTTCAAGAGCCCTAAATTGCATTCAATGTGTGGTCTCAAAACTGTCCTGTACACCCTCAACAGTGCTTTTGAATTCTCAGCTTTTAACATTTTAGATGCTGATAGTCTAGGCTGACACTTCAGTACATAGTTGGGAGCGCTGCATTCCTAAAGATGCCGTCTTTCAGGTCAGATGTTAGGTGGACATTCACAATCCATTGTCACTATTCAAAAAAGAAAGATATAAGCAGTAATTTCATCAGTACTCATTGCTCAATCCTACCTTGAAAGTGTCCTTGTCCGACCATGAAAGGCAAGTTGCAATAAACCCACATGCAACCCTTTATGATCATCTTCTGAGTTCTATACATGCCATGTTGTCTCAGTGACCAACTCAGTCCATACCCTTCCACTTGTCCACAACCCTCATTTCTGTTGTGTGCAAATTGGCTGCCACGTTCACCTACAAAATGCACAAATTCATAGGCTTTACAGTAAATCCTATGAAACCCTTTTGAGAAATTCTCCCGACGTGAGACACTATATCAAATGCAGATTATTCTGATTTAAATAACAAAATTAACATGCAGTTGCTGAGATGTACTTTAATGCATGCAGCATAACAGTAATAACAATGAGCACCAGGTGGCAATACTGTACTTGGCAATGGTCATCTGATACTTCACTGGCTTCTGTACTGTTGTGGTGATTTACCTTAGTGGTGAGCAAATTGCACTTAATTGGCAAACCTATTGATTCAATCTCTTCCTTTGCATACAACTCTGATTTCTTGGCACTAACCAAATTACTTGTTTTATTACCTGCATTACCTGAAACAAACCTTACTTTTATTAATGCCGCCCCCACACCTCCGCCTCCGTCAACAATTTCTTGAAACACACAATGTTCTAACTGGAGATGGAGCAAGTTATTGTAATTAACCATAACAACTTACTTGCATTTATATAGTGCCTTTCACATAGAACCGATGTCTCAAAATTATTACAAATGTGCCAGGTAGCACTGAGCAGAGAGAAATAAGGTTGTTGAGGCGTCAACAAACGTTACAGTAAATCCTGCGAAGTTTTCAGATGTTTTAATGCAGTCAGGTACTATATCAAATGCAGTGATTATTATTTGAAAGCATAGTCAAAGAGCTGAGGGTTTCAAAGGCAGGAAAGAGAAAGCGAGGCAAACAGATATTGTGTGAAAGATCTGGAGGTCAGGGACACAGTAGCATAAGGTTCAGCCATAGGTAGTAGGAAAGAGGGAGTTACTTTATCATGGAGCTTTGCTGTTTTTGATCTGGTTGACAAGAGATTTCTGGCAGAAGAAGGTCTTGTTTTCTGATTTTCTATTTCTTCCTGTAAAGAACTGCTTCAAGTCTGCTCGGCAAGGTTCACCTATCAGCCGGAACTAAGTCCACACCTAAACACATTTTGCAACCAGAGATCTATTCCTCAAATGACTTAACACGTTAAACACCAGCTCACTGTGCCATTAGACCAATATTATTGATTGTTGTTATTAAGGTAATGTTAGCATAGCAGTATTACAATGTCATCAAGCCCTTGAGAAATACTGTGTAATAAAGAGGCAAAATGTAATTGCAAACCATGCTGCTATCAGAGTAAATCAGACTTCCTTCAAATGATTATATTAGGATTTGTTTCGGTATTATAATGTTTAACACTGGAAATCACCAAGGAAACAAAGGCAGACACTCCAGTGCTGACAATCCAGTGCAGTACTAGAGAAGCACTGGGTCCTTCAGATGAGACATTAAAACAACTCTCGGCAGTGAGTTCTATATTATCATGACTCTCTGCATTCCAACTGTACGAAAGCATTGAAATGGTGTCCACTTACACTTACCTCCATAAATCACTTACTGTTCACTGAGATAAAACAAGCTGATTTTATGTGCTCAAATCTCTAGTGAAGGTAACACAACATTCTTGTCAGTGAAGTGGGTCAATCAGTCTGAATCGAAACCCCACTTTTTGTTTTCCAATTAAAATATCTGTCAACCAAATAAATGCTGACTTTTCTTCAATTAGAAACCTGCCAACAATGTAACATGGATTACTGCAACTACATTGAAAAAGCTCTGCATAACAACAAGGCATCCGGACAAGGGCGCATGGGAGTTCAATCAGCACTTTGCTTAAATTAAATCAATTGTTGTGTTGAAACTAACAGCGGTGACTCTGTGCACATAAAGCCTAAATAAAATCTGCAGTATAAGCATCAGTGGCAAAGTATTGGACGATGGAGATGGGTCAAAGAGTGGACATTGCACCTCTCCTGTTATTACAGGGCGTTATTATTATATTTATGTAGCAAGTGGAAGAACATGAAAGAAGGAAACACATGCACAGTTATAGTCTTTGTATGGTTCCCAAGAAAATAGACTTATAATGATATATCATATAATAATAATAACCCATAAAGAAACAATGAATAGTTTTAGTCACATATTTGTTTACATGGGAAGAAATTGTGGTATTCCTGTTCCTTGATCAACACCATTCTTGATTAAGGAGCTGTTTATGACTGGCCCGAGGCCTTGCTCTTGGCTGATGTAACATTGAAGCAGCTCCTGGAAACTACACATGATGGACAGATGGTTTACTTGATTTACCATCCTCCTGTAGAGAAGCTCCAGCTAGCTTCTGCGAGAGCACTTCCTCATTGTAATGCAGCTCAAAGCATCATTCAAAAGATCACATTAAGGAAATCTACAACCCACCACTTCCTGCACATCAGTGCTCCATT